TTTATTTCGAAATTCAAATTCATTTCTGACCATGGAAGTCTGCGATGGGTGTCACTTCAATTATATGGAGTTAATTGCATTTTTTTTTAAAAAGAAGAAATTATAGCAATTTATCGATCTCATGGTGTTCTCCCGACCTCAGTAAAGTGTCTTAAGTGCAAGAACGAATGTAAATGTCCAGACCAACATATGAGGCATTGTGGTAACTCCAATGACGCACGAGAACCAGGCCAATAGGGTAAGAATTAGTGATTCCATCACATGGTGAGTCAGTTAGGTTAGGTTTGGTTTGATTTATGTTTTTCTAGTGTTTTCTTTTTTTCATTTTGTATTCGCTTAGCCATTATTTTTTTTTTTCGGTAAACGACCCAACAACAAAAATTTGAGAAAAAAAAACGGAAAATTTCCGACGGAAATGAAGGTCATAACCGATCTAAACACACACAAATACACTTGAAAAATTTATTTTTTGACTTCCAACAAAGTTGGGTGCGCTTATACAAATTTACTATCATATTAAACACAAAAGACAATATGCAGAGAACACCTGACCTAACATACCCATAGGTTGGGTATGTTAGGTCAGGTTCTATGCATTATCGTGTTAATTTATGTGTTAAACAACTTAAGGTTGATATAAATCAGCAATGGCGAGGAGGAATACGTGGAAGAGTCACCAATATTATTTATAGAAACGAGGGAATTAGCGAGAGATAAACAACAAAAATGGCGCCGGGAGGAGCGGGATAGAGTAAATAACAAAAATATACTTAAAATCATAATAGAAAGTTGTCATCTCTATTAATATACTTAAAATAATCAAAACAATTAGTATACCAAAATCAACAAACAACTTTTGGTGGTAGCCGTTTTCTACACCTTGGCAACACAAAAGTGGATGGTAATTTTAATGACTAAGGATCTATTTATCGCGGACCATAATGGAAATACTCTTTGGATGACTTCCCTAAATTAACCTTGGTTAAGTGGACTTACATTGTGCAATAGGCCGGTGCACAGCAGCTCCTGTTCTACTGTTGATGTACGTCATGGGCGAGTCAGAAAGATTAAAACCTCCCTGCTGTATCACCAGAATATATTGTATCCTGTATACATTCACGGGGCTGTATCACCAGAATATATTGTATCCTGTATAAGTTCACGGGACGCTTGAGGCTCTTCACAATTATCTTCCGTGCAACCAAAATGGCGTCGACCTGAGTGACCAGGGCGTTGTTTACCCGGAGGAGCAACTAGCGGAGTGATGCTGCCACCCGCGCCATCTATGAGTCAGCTTCATCACCACTGAGGAGCAACTAGCGGAGTGATGCTGCCACCCGCGCCATCTATGAGTCAGCTTCATCACCACTCACTGCACAAGTCCAGGCTTACATCTCTTGACTGTGATTATACTGTAAAAAATAGCAAATATATCGTTTATACCATATGATGCCACATCTTTTAGTAATCTTCCTGTGAAAAAACACATGATAAGCTGACCTCTGCATGTTAAGGTCAAAATAGAGTTTCGGGGTAAATTTTGTCTCTCAGCTGGTGTCAAGTGAACACGACACACACTTTTGTTTTCATTGGTATTAAGTCAGATTCCTGGTAGAGGTATGGTGGTCGCAGTAAAGGTGAAGCACACACACACACATCATCCACTGCTTAGTACATGTGGTCTACTGTTATGTTCACTATCAATAATACGTAGTAAATTGAGAGAGAGAGAGAGAGAGAGAAATAATCCCCTCATTAATTAAGGACAGGTAAGGCCAACAACAGGTAATGCCTCTGGTCTGGCCTCTTCACTATATTAAATCATAACTATATTTCTTACTGAGGTAGTGTGTGTTATAATGTGGAGGAGCGGTACTATAATTCTCTCTCTGTCCTAAGGGGCCCCTGGGTAATCCTTGGTATTCCCATGGGGCCCCTTGGTGACCCCTGGTAGTCCCATTGGACCCTTACACCTGGTAGGGCCCAAGGTAATCCAATAGGGCCCCTGGTAGTCCCATGGGGCCTCTGGCAGTCCCATGGGGCCCCTGTGGGATCCCTGGTAGTATTATGAGGCCCCTGAGGGACCCCTAGTAGTCCCATGGGCAACTTGGGGAATCCTTGGTAGTCTCATGGGGCCCCTGGGGGATCCCTGGTAGTATTATGGGGCCCCTAGTAGACCCATGGACCAATGAGGGATCCCTAGCACTACCATGGGACCCCTGGTAGTCCTATGGGGCAGCTGGGGAATCCCTGGTATTACCATGGGGCCCCTGGGTGACCCCTGGTAGTCCCATTGCCCCTGGAAGGGCTTCAGTTAATTCAGTAGGAGCCACCTGGTAGTTCCATACGGCCCCTAGGAGCCACCTGGTTGTCTCATGGGGCCTTTGCCCCTTGTAGGGCCCATGGAGCCCCTGGGGGACCCCTGGTAATCCCATGGCAGATCAATATCACTTAAACTCAACCTTACTCTTAACGGACCACCCACCAACATCAACATCCTACTAATGTCAGTTCCCTGTCAAAGAAGACTTCTGGCAACATGGGAGTCTTCATCTCCCTGCAGTTCATAATGCTGTGATAATTCTTCAAAACACAAATTGTGTCAGCATACAGATAAATATGATTCATGACTGTAATGTACTTGAAGGACAAATATTAATAGGCCTGCCAAGACTCGGGGAAGTAAACAGGCTGTCAACCACAGGTGACTTTGGTACTGTACCACTCATGTGACAATTTGGCACTTAGTAAATTCCAGGGTTTCTGAGTTATGGCCCCTCTCTACCCCTCCCCAAAAAATTGTGATTCTCAACGGAAATCAAGGTCATAATCATTCAAAATTCCTCAAAAACCACCAGATAAACATAATTTTGTTGTCCTAATATACAATGTTGGGGACTCATGAGGAAATCAGGGGTTGGGGGAGGGGAGGTTAGATTATAGGTTACAGAAACCTAAGTCCATCTTGCCTGCTAAAACATAAACTAACACAGCTGCTGTTTATAAGGTCATTTTTATCTGACTATATTTTATATTTTAATATTATTTTCCAATGAAAATAGAGTTAGTTAAGATTACCATAGCTTGTGCAACATTGCAATTGGTAGTATCTGGTCATGCAATATTGCAACCAATAGATTTGGTTAGGTTATGTTGGGTTCCTGACATCACATGGGTCTTCTGATGTCACAGTGACATGTTTGCCATTATTAACAGCATTAAAGTATCCTAGAAGGTTGTTGTACTGTACTGCTGTCTTACATATTGGTGGAATAGAACAACTCCCAGTCATAGGACACAAGTTCTTGCATGGTTACATAATCTCATCTGACTTACCACCTTCCACTATATCTTCTTGTAGTCCACAAACTGGATTGTGTTCTTTGATATATGATTACCAATATTGTTAATGTAGATGACAAACATGGTAAGTTTCCTCCTGTGCTAACAGTGGACAATAAAGGTCATGACAGAAACAAAGAACAAACTAAACAGCCAGTAAACCAATTGGTGGTGAAATAATAAATAAAAGAAACAATTCAGTACTTGCCAGTAGTATAGTATAGTGTACAGTACATTTAATTATCTCCATTGAATTGTGTGCCATCAGTAGCTTGAGAGCCACAGTCAAGTGTGGTGTTCCCCCACTTGGAGCGCCATCATCACGTCTTGTCTCCGGGATATGCCTCAATATGCAGGTTTATGCAATGACGGCAAAGGGCGACCGGAGGATGAACTGGTCAAGTTATACCTCGGGGGTGTGGAGGTTAGCAGTTTGTGTTTTCTTCAAGGAAGGATTGGTAGCCACGAGGGCCTTTGTGGTGTTCCGCAAGGTCTAGTTAGTGGGGGAGACCGTGAGCCTAAGAAGTGACTGATATAAATGCAGCTTCAGGTCATGGTTCAGTTGGCAGCCTGTCCACATATGTTCTGATATAAGCTTAAGACACAGATGAAGGTCGTCACACTCCACATCACAACACTTAAAAGTCGTTGTAGTCCAGAAAAATCTTTAATGGTTGTGGCCACTTGTAGGATCATATAGCAGTATCACCCTATTGTCTTATATATAACAGAGTGGCTATATTAACACTTATGTTTGATGTACAACTTGACCTAAAATATAATCAATAACATTACAAAGTCCAGCTAACAAAATTAAAGGGTCACATCAGGGGATCAAAGTTGACACCGCGTAGTGTTTGGTAAGCGTCATCTTAACAAACATGGCAGGTTTTCTCCGGGTACAGCAGTTTTCTCCGGGTACAGCGGTTTTCTCCGGGTACAGCAGTTTTCTCTTGGGTACTTCTCAATTATACCCCCAATAAATTATTTAAAGACCGTAAGTAATTTTTCAATTAAACTAACTTAACATATCCCTATGATTCTGTGAACACGTTTCCTCCTTTACTAAAACAGTATTTGTCTTTTCCAGGTACTCCAACCTCCTCTCGTACTAACACTGAACAAAGACCAACACTGGACAAAGACCAACACTGAAGAAAGACCAACACTGGACAAAGACCAACACTGGACAAAGACCAACACTGGACAAAGACCAACACTGGACAAAGACCAACACTGGACAAAGACCAACACTGGACAAAGACCAACACTGGACAAAGACCAACACTGGACAAAGACCAACACTGGACAAAGACCAACTGGACTGGACAAAGACCAACACTGGACAAAGACCAACACTGGACAAAGACCAACACTGGACAAAGACCAACACTGGACAAAGACCAACACTGGACAAAGACTAACACTGGACAAAGACCAACACTGGACAAAGACCAACACTGGACAAAGACCAACACTGGACAAAGACCAACACTGGACAAAGACCAACACTGGACAAAGACCAACACTGGACAAAGACCAACACTGGACAAAGAAGATGGAAATAAAGAACAGACCAAACAGCCAGACAATTGGTGTATCCACATATCTATATACTCTACTATCTATCCACTATAACATGGAATTAAACCAATACAAACTTATAACTCTTATATTTCAATACAAATACATATAAGTTCTGCAGTATAAATCACAACTAGTATTTTACCTTTTGGCAAATTAACTAAAATGGTTTATTTTAGTAAGAAAGAAAAAACAATACCAGAAATATAATGTTTGGTAGACATATTATCAACAATGGTTTAGAAATTGATTATAGTCCCCCAAATAATGAGACAAATGTACAAGTATGATCTCTCAAGAACATTGAAATTTATTAAGCTCCTCTTTTGTTTTTCTTGTTTGTGGTAGTAATAATCCTCTAATGCTTTCTTCTGCATAAACTACTTTGATCGTGTAACTAATCAACTAATTAAAGTGGAATGAACCTTGTCTAGTATACTGTATGGAGCTACAGAGTCTTAGTATTACAGTAGAAAAAAAAAGACTCATAAGATACTAGAACTGAAAAGACTCAGTACAGTTTATAAATAATGAATCCACAGAAGTAGACAATGAGGTCAATGCTTGAGCCATACTTGCCCACACAAAATATTAATACAAGAAACATTATTTATGAGTAGAGGAATATACTGTACTGATATAACATACAAATTGTCTAAACCATTAAGATAATGCAATATACACCTTTAGGAATAATATCTTCCTCTATTATAAACATGTAACATCAAATACTTTACCAAATATACTGACAAAATTATATATCCTTTAAGCCAGCTGTCTCCTCCAACCAATCACAGACCAGCTCCTCATAACAAGTGATTATCTATAATTATATTAACAATATAAAGAATAATATAGAGTTAATAAGCCATGAATTACCACGCCCAGTTAACACACCATGAACCGGGTTATCTGTTGTGGTCATCATGTGTCTTAAATGTTGTATATATATTTCTTCTGCTTCATCTGACACAATCATCAGCAGAGACAACTTCATTTCCTTTCTTCGTTATCATCAGTACTTTTCATAGCGGCTCATGGGAGTAAAATCTGGTTCGTACATTTCCAGGAGATCCTCTGAGAATTCATTAGGGTTCATTTCCAAGAACGAAGGCATCCCCATTCCCTGGCTGGGTCTGTCGATGGCCATGGATAGAGGGCTGGTCATGTATCTCTGGGTCCTCCCAGAGAATGATTCCTTTGGCTTTTCCATTTCATCGTCACTCGGGGCAGGATTTTCTGGTTCGGTCGCGCCGCCTTCGGGTTCGGTAAACTTCAGGTCCTCGACACCGCGTCGCTTGAATAACAGCAAGTATGCCCCTCGGGTCTGTAAGATGGTGTAAAATTTACCCCGGTTTCACATCCAACACCTGTAAAGTTCCATCAGTGGCACGTGTAATACTGAGGTATGTATCCGTCACTCTTTTTACTAACACAAAATTACCCTGAGTCTCAATACAAGCAACAAACGCACAGAAATTTTCTGTCACCCTTACAAAGTTTCCACATAGATTACCAAACACAAACAGTACTAATACTGTCACTTATATATATCTGAGCTTGGTGATGCTACAAATAATGATAGACTTCCCGTGGTAACCTCTACAGTACCAACAGTAAGGGTAATATTTCAGTGTGGTGCTGCTGGGTAATATGACTGTAGTGCAAGAAATGGAATCACAGCCACAACTTTGTTGACGATGAATTTATTATGTTACTGTACTTCTACAACTAAGGTCTTTGAATGATAACAAGGTAATTACACTAACTCATCAACATCTAAAAAGGTAATTACACTAACTCATCAACATCTAAAAAGGTAATTACACTAACTCATCAACATCTAAAAATTACAATACAGAACTGTGATAACCTCCTCACATATAAAGAACTGACCTGTAGCATGCATGGGTCTGCTGGTTGTATCATGTCATCATTGAACGAGTACCAGTACTGATCTTCTGTATACTTCACAAAACTTAAGTCTGTAAATAAATAAATTACTTATAGTAATCTTTAAAGTCTTTTTATTTTAAACTTACAAATTCCTCAAGAATTAAATCAACAAAATTCTATTTGATAAAACAGACTTAATATCTCACAAACTACTTGGTATAATGACTAAGTAGGCTTCAATTAAGAGGACTGAATCATACATAAGTTACTAAACATCTAGTGGCCAGGCACCGGTTACCCATACGTACAGTGTCCAGCTCTGGAGGTTTTGCCGTCGTGATTTATGAGGCCGATGAGGTCGTACATGGCCGAGCCCTTCACGTGGTCGGGGTCAATCATGTAGGGATCCAAGTCGAGTCCAAATTCTGGGAACGTCACCAGGCTGTTGATTTTCTTGTCATCTCTGTTGACGCTGCCGTTAATACGTACTGTGGCCTCACTGGGAGGTTTGAACATAAAGCGCTTTAAGTGGATTATCAGGTAGTTCGGCACTGACCAAAATCCAGAGGACTTGAAGCTATCAGTGTGGTCCTTACAACTGCTGCAGAACCTGAAATGGAAGTTATATTTCTGCATCAGCATCTACTCAATATATCGAACAATATTCCCTAGTCTGTTATAAATTAAGGTCATCAAACCTAACCTAGCAAGTTATTATCACTCAATAAACAGAAAACAAAACAACATACCAACTGTTTAACGAATCCAATTTCTCGTTCTTGTGGAACTCGTCCAGACACTCGTACAGACTCTTGGTGGCACGTGGCGGGTCAGCGTACTTCCAGTTGACAGATTCCGTCGCCTTAAATGATCATCAAAGAAACAATACCAAGTATTAACGACTGCGAATGAACAATAACGACTTGGAAAATCTCGGTACGTCATAAAGGCACATTTCATAACTATGCAATTATGAACAGGGTGTCTATAAACCATCAATCACCTCAAGAGCATTATAGGTGGAATGCCCAGGTCTTATTATACTCAAACAACAATTACATCGTACTTTTTATCTCATCTCACTATATAATGCAGAGGAGGAGGAGGAGGTAGTAGAGGTACAGTGTATACTTCTGAAGTCAAGTACAGGAGGACACCCAAACTTAGGAATAATCAAATAAACCAAAAATGAGGAGGAAGCAATATACGATAAAGTTGGAGAAAGAGAGCAGTTGATGCACACACAGACAGACATTCTAAAATACTATAAATAACCAGAATAGGAAATAGCTTGTGTATATCATATAAAAAAAGAGCAAAAGAGAGCATTTATTACACATACTGTATACCCTTGTATACATATCAGAACCAGAAATGACACATGTGTATATGTATAAATAAGATAAACTAATATAAATGCACCAAATTTAATACTGTAATACAACTTTTATGCACAGGGGAAAAAATGAATGCACAGAAATTATTCCACCTTATGTGAATTATCAAAAAAATCACAGGAACGGACAAAATTTCATCTGGCTTACGTTGGGTGTTTGGTAGATCTTGTCGATGAGATACTTCCTAGCGTACAGCGGGTGAAACTCCAAGGTCAGCGGCTCACCATTCATGAATACCTCCTGCGCCTTGTCGTGATTGGGAAGACCCTCGTCAAAAGCTGCCTTCTGCGTAGATAAAAGAAAATATGTTTGGGATGATCAATAGATAATGAGATTTTGATATAAAGAAATACAGTAATTCCTATGTAACAGAGAGAGAGAGACAGAGGGACCACTCACCTTGTACATACGGAACAGGTAGTGCTTGCCATTCTTCGTCCACCTGTTCTTCTTGTTGGTCAGGTCTGTTTTCGTGTAGACACTGCTGGGGTAGGTGCAATACGTCTCTGTACGGCGCATAAAACGTTACGCAATTAATGACAGAACGAGATTGTAATCCTCACCCCTCCCCCCCTTTCATCCTTCAATTTCTCGAGTATTTTTCCTACAATGAATAAAAAGTGAGCAGCTTTTTAGGTTAGGTTAGGTATTCAATGTTATGAGTGGGTTGGGTTATGTCTTCAGTGTCAGGACTTATTATTGTTTGTTTACTGTCAGCCAACAATGTCAGGAGTTGTTGTTGTCTACTGTCAGCCATCAATGTCAGGAGGCAAATCCCCCACACACAACAGGCAACACAAACAAGTCTCCGGGGACCAACGTGAGGCTGAAAACAAACGGCGATGATTTAATACGTACTCCTGATCTCCTCCTCCTCCTTGTCGTCCTCCGGGCTCTGCCACACCCACCACTCGTCGCTCTCGGGTGGAATCACGATGCGGTCGCCGAAGCCCTCCATGATGGCTTCGTACACCTGTAAAAAAAAAATGAAAAATAAAATAAACAAATGGAGTTTGACGTAACCTGTTCATTATAAACATAGGTTAGGTTAGGTCTGACATTGTTTCGTTAGGTCTGATATGGATAGGTCAGGTTTAAAAAAACAACGATAATGATCACCGAAAAACTAACCAAAACAACGGGAAAAAACAAAACAAAACTGTAGAACAAATTAGCATCACATTCACCTGGTCGTACGTGGCGGTCTTCTGAATCCTCACGAAGAAGGGGACGAAGAATCGGGAAGTCTCGCCCCACATCCAGTTGGTCCAGGCCTTCTTGCTGTCGACGTTTGGTACGGTGATGTCAATCCTTACGTCAACAAGGCTCTCATCTCCGGGTGGCGGAGGCGTCTCCAGTCTAACAGGGCAAAGAGTAGATGGGTTAGGCTGTTAGGGGAACTATAGCTAGATAGATGGAGGTAATTTGACTAAGGATAGCCGATAAAGCCACCAGATGCTTTTTAAAAACTCCAAATCAATGGACGTAACACAAACATCGACACAATACATCCAAAAATAAAAATAATAAAAAGTTACCTCTCACAAAAAAGTAGGCAGCCATCGAGATTAACAATGTGGAAATTACGGCCATAATAAAACAAAAGTGTAATCATCGCATCTGAAAAAAGAATCTAAATTCACACAGAAACACATAAACATTCATTAAACTTGTCAACCACCAGCGAGACAAGACGTGCCCTGAAGGCGCTCCCAGTTTGAGCAGCCAGGCCGAGTCTGTTTGGCCCTGCCCCCCCCTCCCCCTGCTATATTCCAACGCCCTACCAGCCTTACTACACCGGGATGTATTCAACAGAACATTCAAGTGATTAGTGCAATGATTGATTACCAAACAGTGTTCCTATAGTGCACTCCAAGGAAAAGCACGAACACACAGCAGTGTAATAATGAGTGTGGCTGGATCTGACCTAACCTGACCTGACCTAACCTGAAGGATGGAGCACACCTGCATTGCCCCAAGCTACTGTCCTGGCCACGTGGACACACACCTGCCCAACCGCATCCAGCCCATACGAGCACGTACTGATTACTATAAGAACAGCCCAGTCCCAGCCACTGTAAAAATTATCAACACCTAATTATTATATTTTTTTTTATGGGGATTAGCCCACCCGGACACAGGTCACTGACCCACATCGGGGCCTGGGGGGCAAAAATGTAATAATAATAATAATAATAATAATAATAATAATAATAATAATAATAATAATAATAATAATAATAATAATCAAAATAATAGTCATAATAATTCATAATAAATAAAATTTATGATAAAACAAACAAAAATTAAATAATAAAATAATGATGATAATAATACAGTAACTGTAATAATAATAATATTATTAATAAAGAACTATAAATACAAAAATGAAAAAAAAGATCAAAAGTGAGAAACGATATATGTATGTTGTGTTGTCAATGGTAAGAGAAACAATTGAGACCCTGCAATTGTGTGTAAATGAAGCAGAAAGTCAGATCAGCAACTTGGGACTTGGTCACAATTTTTGTGATGCCATATGGCAGCAGGGTCTACCATTAGACAACACATTATGCTTCCAATATCTTCCCAGGCAGTAGTACCTCCCTGTTTGGTAGCTGCCTACTACCTATTATATATCATATTTGTATCACTTATGTTGCCTGTATATCATTTGTAAACCAAGAGACCCACTTCCCAATTATGTAATTGTATATTTTCAGCCTTCCGGCTGCCATGCTCTTTTAATAAACCGTTAATTATTATTATTAGATAAACCAGTCTATAATCACAACCATCATATCGTGAAAAGTTTAATACTATAAACAGTTACAGTACTTACACACAAATGGGCAGGTGACCCTCTCGTCCAAACATCTTCACAACAGGATTTGGTTCATCCTCATAGTTGTGATACAGTCTTGTCTCCTTGGTTCTCCCTAACTGCAGTCTCTCCCACGGCTCGTACCCAATCTGTGTGTGGTTTGATTTCATTGAGTAAAACGTTAATGATAAAATAATTTCATAACCCAATCTAACCTAGCCTGAACCTGACCTAATCTAGCTTGAACCTTACCTAATCTAGCCTGAACTTGACCTAATCTAACCTGAACCTTATCTAATCAAACCTAACCTAACCCACATTACATGATAGATAAAAATGATAAGAATATATTTAAAATCAAAGGAACAATTATAGCCATTAGCAGAAGTCGATAAAATCCAAATAAATCGTTTTTTGTTTTGTTTTTGAGGAGAGTGGGGGACGTTCTTAATTTCTCAAAAGTTCTTAAACATAAGGAAAAGACACAGGACTAAATAGCATAAAATTAATTCAGTGAAAGTTGCCGGATATATCACACCCACACAAGATCTTCATAATTTCATCACATTACACAACAGTTTATCCCCTTGTGTTCAGGCTCCCCACTGTAATGAATATACAAATGTGTCTCCATTAACATAAGATATAACTAAGTAAAAAAAACATATATTAAACATATTTTGCTCACGTTTACCTGATAAATACACCTTATCAGTGAACACAAAAAACAAATGAATAAATCAACGGAGGATCATAAGCGCTGTACCTGTTTGGCGATCTTCATCTTGATTTCCTCCAGAGTCATGAGCTGGTTTATGGGCGTTCTGAATAGTTGCATTGGCTTTGTCTGGTCTAGGGCCCTAAAACTCATCTGTAATATGAATAAAATATAAACTTTATCCATCTAGAAAAAATATATATACTGACTGGCTATATAAAGATCTTAACCTTTCATCCAGTGACCAAGTATTCATTGAGAGCTTTGTCTGGGTACATTGTTGGTATATCTATAGAACCAATTGTAAACTAATATTATGATTTGACTGAATAAATACATAACCGTTTATCCATCTAACAATATCTATCTATCTTACAATATTTATTAGTCTGATCTTTTTCTGCTGTGATGGTCAGTAGCCAGACAGTCATTTGGTCCCTGATTTTTAGCATCGACTTTCGTGTTTATGATTGAATGACAAAATATAACCCAAGGTCCAGAGTCTCACATGTATAGTGATGACAGCAACACAGCTATGGTGTATAATTATGTACCACTATATACTGTATACGGTGGCTTATGTATACTATAGTTGCGTTATATGAGGTACTTACTGTGCATATCAACATAACTTTATAAGGCAGTGACAGTCTGTAGTTATGTAAAATATAAGGTACAGTGATTACAGGGCATAACTGTGTACCTTTCTCATTACAAAATATAAGGGACAGTGAATACAGGGCATAATTATGTACCTACAGTGATTACAGGGCATAATTATGTACCTTTCTCATTACAAAATCATCGATGGGGATTGGGATGGAGAGGCACGGTGTGGGCTCAAAGTTGACGCTCGTGTTGCCGCACACCCCACAGTTGATGGTGCCCTTTATGAGGCTGGAGAAGATGTCCACTATGTGGGAATCGTTGCGTTTCTTGTAGTACTCGACCGCCTCGGCCGCCAGTTCCTGAGGAGACAAAAGAGTGCAGATAATTAATTAATGGCCGAGAGGTATGGCGAAACCTCTTTTTAACGGACATCTAATGGATTATATAGAGAAGTTCGTTATATGGAGGTTTCACTGCACGTACTGTAATGTTATTAATAATGAAGATGTAATTTCAGTACGAGGAAAAAAGTTGATCTTTTTTGCTCGTACTGTATTTGTTTAATTACCGCTCTGTTTCTACTATACAATACAGTACTGTTTACCACACCAGCAAGAAAGATAGTCTATGCAAATACCTTCCAACACTCACACCAGAATCATCTTGCCTCTTCCACTCACCTTATCCGGCCGGCCAGCAGTCTCCGGGAGCTCAACGTACGGCTTGTTCACGACGCGGTTGCAGTCCTCGTGCAGTCCGTCCAGCAGGAACAACAGGAACTCGTGGCAGTCGTTCATGTTGCAAAAAGTGTAGTCTGGGTTGTACTTAGCCATCTCTTTCTGTTGAGGGAGAATTGGATACTATAGAAGGGGGATTGGATACTGCAGGAGAGGATTAAATACTAAATTAGGGATTGGATACTGCAGGAGAGGATTAAATACTAAATTAGGGATTGGATACTGCAAGAGAGGATTGAATACTAAATTAGGGATTGGATACGAGAGGATTGGATACTGCAGGAGAGGATTAAATACTAAATTAGGGATTGGATACTGCGAGAGGATTGAATACTAAAGTAGGGATTGGATACAAGAGGAGGATTGGATACTGCAAGAGAGGATTGAATACTAAATTAGGGATTGGATACTGCGAGAGGATTGAATACTAAATTAGGGATTGGATACAAGAGGAGGATTGGATACTGCGAGAGGATTGAATACTAAATTAGGGATTGGATACAAGAGGAGGATTGGATACTGCAAGAGAGGATTGAATACAACAAAAACCTTAATGTAGTGGAGTGGGGGATTGTATTTAATTCCATATTATTTATTGTACAAGAAAATATGGGGAATAATTACAAATAATATAACGTAAAGTGCTGTAGGACCCAAGTGATTACAGTCAACGGTCCACACTATCTATCTATTTACCAATCAATCAATTAGTCCATCAATCTACCTATCTATTTATCTATCACCACCACCACCATGTAACCTACCTTGAATCTCACAGCATTGATGGAACAGAAGAAACCTTTCCATATGTGCTTAACCAAGAGACCGAACTCTTTAGCGAACCTTCCCTTCCGCCCCAGAGGATTGTCCACATTCAGTTCCTTCAGGTAGGTGTCGGTGAGGTAGTAGTCTCGCAAGGAAGGAATTTGCGCCAATTGCTGTAAGGGAGAAAACGACAACCCGGGAATTTAACATAACGACACTGTAATTTGTCTCTTGTCTAGGGGTGGTAGCTGGTTAGAAAGGATAATCACAGGGTGTTATTTAATTACTATATGAAATAAGGATTGATAACTAGGGTGGCTCATCTTCAAGTGGCTTATCTAATTCTACCTCTGAGCGATGTCAACTTTGTCAATTATTGTACTAATAAAGATGCGAGTACCATTAACAATCTCAACATTGATAGAAGATTTTTTGGCTTTATATGTTTTTTTTTGTAAAGATATCTAGACATCCTCACGAAAGATCCATAGTATGTCTGCTGCAGCTAACTTCCACCAATAATAACCCACCATATTTCAGCTAACTTCCACCAATGATAACCCACCATATTTCAGCTAACTTCCACCAATGATAACCCAACCATATTTCTTACCACAATCACAGAGGTCATGTAGCAGCTGTTCTGATAACTCTGGAAGGATATGAGTCCTGGGTGACTACCGTGTTTTCCCACGCAGCCGCCTCTGATCTTGTCCAGTGTCTCGTAGCCCCAACGACCCATTCTGTGAGGAAGAACTGAACCATGAGGCTGCTGGTATTTTATATAATCCTTTCCACTACTTTGTTATGACCTCCAGTGTTAGTGCAGGAGGAAACTCGAGTACTGTACCCGGAGAAATCCAGTCATGTTTTTGTTCTCGTCATGCTGCGTATCACCCTTCTGATATTTGACCCCCGGGGATTGAACCCAGAACAGTAGTGGTGAGAGGCATGTGTGTTATACCACTGTACTAACTTGAAACTGCAAAAGCTAAAATAAAAACCCAATGAACTTGAACAAAATTGAAGAACGAAACTAGAAAATTAAAGTTAAATTCACTGACGAAAAGAAAAATTCCAAGTATCACAGAGAAAAGAGAAAGACTTGACCCATACACAGTACAGCATCACTCTAGCACAAGTAACACTGGCTTGTGGGGCAATGCATTCAACCTAACCTAACTAACTTTAACTCACTCTAACTCACCTCATAGTACCTAAAAACTCCCAAGAAATCCCAAACTATCACACCAATGTATCTGACACAGCTAATTTCCCTCAAGGTGCTGTGAGTGTGGGACACCCTTATGACTCGACGGATACTTTTCCACGGACTTACATTTTAGTACCCACACGCTTCTGGGGCTGTGAGGGGAGCCTGGGCATATCGAGAGGCCACGTTCCATCTGGATTCTGTGGCTCAACCATAAACACCCTGGGTCGCCCGTCCACATCGTAGATTTGGTCAGCCTTCTCGTGCTTGTTGGTTAAACACTCCCAGATGTCCTGCTCTTCACACCAGTAGTGGTGATTGCGGACTGGTAGGAGCCTGTCTATTTCAAAGTGAGTCCTGAGGTATTTTTCAATCTCAACTGAAAGATAGAACATGAGAGAGAATGTAATGCTCAACTATATACAGGGGTGTACTTGCATTGTCAATATACATACTGAACTGTATACTGTATCTGAATTGTCTACTGTATATACATGATGAACAGTATACTGTACCTGCATTGTCTACTGTATATACATGATGAACTGTATACCTGTATTGTCTATACTGTGTACAGTACCTGTACATGAACAACTTTATACTGTAACTGCATTATTTATATAAGGCACCCCATATATGATGGCCACCGGCCCTACGGCCAACTTCCACAGATGATGGCCACTGCCAACTACAGCTACCTTCCACAAATGATGGCCACCGTCCCTGCTGCTACCCACAGATGATGGCCACAGAATAGAGAAAACATTTCCTATCTTGAGAAACATGTAACTTGCACAAATGTAGAGAAGTAAAAGTATCTCATCATCAATGCAGTACTTACAGATTCTGTCCTCGCGAGATATCTTGTAGGGATCCCACTTCATGCAGTCACGACTATGAGCTAAATATACAGGCATCAGTTTTCGTTCCACCATGAACTAAAAATGAAAAATAAATAAATAAATTGTGGCATATTAAAAGAAAATTACTCATCAATGTAGGGGAAACTGTTTTTTATCTCAGTTTGTAAAATTAACACACACACACACACACACACGGCCCCCAAAGGATTCTCAACCCGTTATTAAAATTACCTCGACACAATAAAATTACAACACAAATTACCTTGGGGGTACTGGAGTCTTTGTTGGCTACCACATGTCTAAACTTGGCAGTCTCGTTGTCCTTGATGGTGAAGCGTTTCGAGAGCACCTGAAAGAAATTCTCGGGGATCGCTTCTATGTCTCGTCTGTGAGGGGCGCCGAGCAGGTCATCGTCCGCTGTCAACACAAAAATACGGCAACGGTTCAATAACTCTTCACTACAGAGATTAAAACAGGAAAACAAATTGCATTATATTTTTTTTTTGGGGGTTGCAATGTTTGGCAGTCTGAGATACAGGGTGTTCTGGAAGCCTGTTCACCTGCCTCTTCATCTTCTTACAACTGATAGGAGGAGGAGGGAGGTAAAGAGAAGGACAAGGAGAGAAGGAAAGGGAAAAAGATGAGGAAGAGGAGAAGGAAATGGAGAAAGAGGAGAAGGCAGTAGGAGGAAGGGATGGTGGTACTGATGGTGAGATAAGGTAAACAAACTTTTGAACCACCCTGTATACCTGACCCAAAAATAAATAAATAAAGCTAAGCAATATAAGACACTGATAAAAAAAAAATAAAATAAAATATGGATGACTCTCTCACACAAATAAAGGGACTATTAATTAATCTGCTGAGACTGAACAACACAACTTCTCACGTAACGCAACCTTAAGACAGACGCGCAAAGTATAATATCATAGTATACCCCTGTACTGTGCTGTGATACTTGAAGAATTCCCCAAAAAAAATAATAATAATTTAATCTTCGTGTGTTGTGTCGTTGCCGAAGAATCTTTTTTGTGGGGATGAGGGGACTGGGGGCAGCTTTAAAGGTGTAATTTACTCTTGTTGGTTTGGTTGGGTTGGGTTGGGTTAGGTTAGGTATGGTTTGGTTAGGATAGGTTTAGTCTACCGGTAATATTTTAGATGCCAGACTCATGGGAAGGAGCCACTCTTGGAAACTTTCCTCTGTACAAGTATTAAAACTTGTTTCTTACTGCATGAATATAAAAAAAAGTCTGGACTGAGGAATTACAACTCACTGAAAATAAATTAATCATAACACTTTTACCAACTGACACAATGAAAATAAACTAATCAACACATATTTCTCTGTGGAGGCCATATGTGTCAGGACCAACGCTATACTGTATGTGGCGGCAGTATAGCAAAAAAACCTCGACTCTCGATATAAATAAACTCGAGCAAAGAACTCTCCTTCGGGTACTGTCGTGATAAACAGTCGCCAAAGATAATGAATGGATAATCTACCGGATAACAATTATAAATCTCTCGTTTATATTGAATGTAGATACAGTACCGCCAATACCAGAGGTCACAATGAGAAATAAAATATGCAAAGCCCTTAAATGCATTATACACTAGTAGAGGCGTCCATAGATTAATGCAGGAGAGGGATGCGACCCTTTCATAACTCGTGAGACGCTTGGAAACAGAGAGACCAGGATGCGAAGTTGTGAAATACAGCCATCAACAGATACAGTACAGTAAATCCCCCCAATAACACACAGGGGGGGGATGGAGGGGGGGTGTTTCATATGGGGGGCAGGGGAGAGGTGGAGTGGGTGGGTTGGTGTGTCTCATGAATGGATTTAGTCTGGTACCGGGAGAATTTACTGTAGCTTGTAATCATCCCAACAAAGATAAGCGGTATAATCCTAGGAGGCGTTTGCACTCACGCCCGAGAATTCCGCTGATGTCTATTGGGCCCGGTTCAGGGTCTTCCTTGTCTGAATTAAGCCACATCCTGAAGCTACTTAGCCAATCACTTTTCACAAAATACCTGTGGACATAGTAGATGGGTTATGCTGAGAGAATTGTACAGTAGTTATCATTATCTTCAACAGTGATGAGAGATGATCTGAGAGAATTGTACAGTAGTTATCATTATCTTCAACAGTGATGAGAGATGATCTGAGAGAATTGTACAGTAGTTATCATTATCTTCAACAGTGATGAGAGATGATCTGAGAGAATTGTACAGTAGTTATCATTATCTTCAACAGTGATGAGAGATGATCTGAGAGAATTGTACAGTAGTTATCATTATCTGATGATCTGAGAGAATTGTACAGTAGTTATGAGAGATGATCTGAGAGAATTGTACAGTAGTTACCTCCCGACATGAGTCACTTCCATCCACCGAGATTGTTCCCTGACCCGGTATGACCAACAAATCGATCAATTATCATGATTTAGAGAGTGTAGTAACCATGGAAACACAAGCAGACATTAGGAATTTTTCTCTTAACGTGTTTCAACCTTGAAAGTCTTCCTCGAAACACACACCAAGAGTAAATATATAATCCCCAACATCCGCCATTGTTTCTCTTATTGCTGCACAACCATCTCTCTTATTTAGTTATATTTATTATCATTATCCTTTCTGTACAATTATAATTTTACTTTTATTACTTTTATAATAATTTATTATCATTATTACAAAGTCCCTCTGCAACATCTTCGATAAATACTGTACTCTAACATTCTATTTGTGTTTTGTATAATTACTTTATTTTTCACACAGATAACCTCTCTCTCTCTCTCTCGTTAACAGCAATAGTTACCATACATATTGTTCAGTTGTCACAATGAAAAAATGAGCAAGCATAATGCTGTTTTTTTCGTCTAGGTGAATGATTTGTTTTTTATTTAATATATCGATGAGTAATATTGTTATTATTTTAAAGATACAAGTTTTTTTTTCAAGTTAAAGGTTTATTATTGGTGTAATGTTAGCAATTAAGAATCCACGTGAAGAGGAATAGACTGAATTATTGTGAGCGGTAGTGAAGATATCCAGGTTGAAATTCTAGGTGGAGAGAGAGAGAGAGAGAGAGAGAAAATAATAACAAATAGAAGAACCAATCAAGTAGTACAGTAAAAAAAGTTTAGGTTGAGAAATAAACACGAAAATAGTATGAAGACTAACCATTTCTCATTTATGGACGGCTCTTTCTCCAACCAGATACTGGCCCACCTCTTGTACTGCTCCCAGTTTGAGTCGTCGTCATCACCATCAAGCCAGCCGCCCATGGGAGGGTAAAAATTTCCCTTCATTTTATACATCTTGTTATCCTGCAGAGCCTTTCTCTATCTGTTGAGAGAGAAGGGATAAATGATTCACCTGTCCGTCATATTGTTGTGGACCTTAGATAAATTATCTAAATAACTTCATAATGGCTTGTAGTGGATTCCTCCCCTACAAACGCTGTTTGTCGCTGAGTAGCCGATCCCGCGAATTCCCCAGTGTATGCCTCGTGGTCTAGGTCAACCAGCGCCGCCTTACATGACGGAGGTCAACTATGAAGCCACGCCTACCTCCGCTATATAAGACCTGACCTCGTGGTGACCTACCTCTCTTTCTACCTACACCAACCAGCAAGCAACACCTCCTCCACTCCTGCCTGGCGGCCCTCGCTTCCGCCGGCGACCCACAAGCTGGTCCTCCTCTGAGCACCCTCACCAACCAGCTCTCCTTACTCAACGCTTGTAACCATGCTGCCTTCCCAGCACCAAGCTGCATTCTACATCCAATACAACATGTATACAGAGAGCACATTGTGAGTTTCCTTTCTCCATCCCATCCTGAGTGTGAACCAAAATCCCGTACCCCACAAATGGTGACCCCCGGAGATTCGCTCTCACACAGGATGGAGGAGAAACCGATAACTCTCCCAGTCTTCAAGCAACATGGAAGACTGGCTTATCCACACAGAGGCAGCTCTCATCGGCTCTACAGCTACTGTCTCTACACCGCAGGTTAGACACCCTAGAGCAGCACTGCTTCTCTAAGCAGACACCAGCTCCTCTTCCTGCCCCAAGCACCACTTCCTACCGACCCCAACACACCGTCCTGCCTCAGACGCCGCCCCCGGCCCAGCAGTACCCCCTGCCACTGTCCTGGACCCTCTTCCGTTCCTGCCTGGCAGCCCCTGCTCCCGACGTGGCCCATGCGCCTGAGTGCGGCCCCACACACCCCTTTTTTCCCTCAGGTACTCTACTGTCCTACACCCATGCTGCTGTCGTAGACCCTGCTGCTGTCATGCACCCTGCTGCTGTCATGGACACACTTCCTGACGCAGCCCCTGTTCCTGACCCAGGACCACACACCCCAGCAGGCACATCTGACAACTCTGTACCTGTCGCGAGGGAAGCACAACATTCATCGCCTCCACAACCCTCCTTCTCCCTCTTCTCCCACAGATCTCGTGTATCTAGACAAAGTTGTCTCCCCTAGCGGCCGGCTCATCCACGCCCTCGCCGTTATGTCTCACATGTGGCATGCACTGCCCGTTCTGCCTCACATGTGCCATGCAACCCTGCAGACAACAAGTCTCCTACACCGCCTGGAGGGAAGGGGGGAGTATTCTAGTGGATTCCTCCCCTATAAACGCCGTTTGTCGCTGAGTAGCCAAACCCGTGAATTCCCCAGTGTATGCCTCGTGGTCTAGGTCAGCAACCAACGCCGCCTTACATGACTGAGGTCAACTATTAAGCCGCCTACCTCCGCTATATAAGACCTGACCTCGTGGTGACCTACCTCTCTTTCGACCTACACCAACCAGCAAGCAACACCTCCTCCTCCTGCCTGGCGGCCCTCGCTCCCGCCAGCGACCATGGCAACCCACAAGCTAGTCCTCTGAGCACCGGCACCAACCAGCTCTCTCTACTCAACGCTTGTAACCATGCTGCCTTCCCAGAGAGCACATTGTGAGTTTCCTTTCTCCACCCCACCCTGAGTGTGAACCAACATCTCCTACCCCACAGGCTTTCTTGGGCCAATGGTCGAATCACCCTATAACTCTTTTCTATGAACTATTTATATCTCAATACAATAATATATAGCCCAATAGACAGCTTATATCACGAAGAAAATAATGATATGAATGTTATGTGATGTAAAGATGTGGAATATAAGAAAATAAGGAATATTTACCTCCCCAAAATGACAGCGTATGAAGGCGTTTATAAACAACAAGGACTACAGATGTAAAATTAATAAGACACAATAAGTATCATTCTCGTTATAACCTCTTTTAAAAACAACATATAATAATTTATATTTAATTTTATAGTTTTTAATACTTATAAGGATAAAATAAATACTTAAATAACAATAAAATAAAACAAAAACCTTTATGCTTGTAGTGGCCCATATACTTCTTGCACTATAAATTATCCACACGACCACACCCTAAGACAGCACAAACACACTGTATTTTTATTTCTACTATATAAATATCACTCTAAAATATATACAATAACCAATAACTTTCAAAATTTCAATAAAACCTCCAATCAAAACCTTAAAAAAACGAGAAAATATACGATATTAATCAATGTTTAGAGAGACTGTACTGTACGTACTTACGTCTAGACACAAGCGAGGGAGTAGGGACACAGGAGGTACAATTGATAGTGTGCCTGTTATCTTATCACTTATCAATAAGATAACAACAGTTCACCCCTTAATCAAATTTGAATATCACGAATATGGAACACCTAATAATCTGGAGGAATGAAATGACGCGTATTTTCTCCTGTGTCTCTCTTTAAACTGAAAAGGAATGCCCCCAAATTGCCCCCCCCCCGTCCCCCACCCAGAGCCTTTTACTCTCGCCATACGTTTTGACTTGGAAATACTACCACCACTCCACTACGTATCTTAACCCCTAAGACTCATATTAACCTCAATTACTATAGCATTTTCGCCTTAATATTCACCACTTACATTTTTATTTTATCTTTCTATAATACAAATAAATAAATTATTGTCTTTATAACAAATAATATATTCTAAAAAATGTTTCGAAAGTGACAATGATCTCACAATAATGTCGTCATATCCCGAACAAAAAAATAAATAAAACTAAATTTTCCTATTGACTCAATCTGCCAACAACTGTCAAGAGAGAGAGAGAGAGAGAGACAGAGAGAGAGAGAGAGAGAGTAATTCTAACATTTCTCAAACCATTTTCTAACAAACTAATGCACATATCAAATACCACAGAGATAACAAGATAACCCACGATAAAAATTACAGAGATAATATAATAACCCAAGATAAATAAAAACATTAATATCCTTTTATATAAATACTCTACAATGTAATAATCTCAATAAACATTAAAATTCGTTATAATAATTGTGAGTGGTGGTGTAGACGTTTCAGAGATGGTACAAAGTGGTGACTATTGTTTCTTTACGGTTTGTCATCATCCTGTCGTCAGTGATACCATCGCCCCCTGAGCAGTGTTGCCATATCCCCCCCCACCCCCGCCAGTGTTTCCTCAAGTCCTTAAAATTTTCTTTGTCTTAGGGGTACATCCATACAAACATACATACATACATACTGTACATACATACATACATACATATATACATACATACATATATACATACTGTACATGATACAAACATACATACATACATACTGTACATACATACATACATACATATATACATACATACATATATACAGATGATAGGCCTAAATAAAACTACTTTATTTAACCTAAAGTAAATTAATACCTAATATGGCAGCATAATTGCACTGAGACTTTACCTTCACTAGAACTAGGAGGAGGAGGAGGAGATGTAGGAAAGATGTGTCACGTCTAACCTAAAGGCCTACACTACACAATGGTATTGTATGGTAATAATGGCTCGTTTGTGTATGTGGGGTTTGATTACCTACCTGAAGAAGGAAGACAGCACCACCAGCAGCAGCAACACCACCAGCAGCAGCAACACCACCAGCAGCAGCAACACCACCAGCAGCAGCAACACCACCAGCAGCAGCAACACCACCAGCAGCAGCAACACCACCAGCAGCAACACCACCAGTGAGGGTTTGGTGTCACTAGATAACGGTGTGTGTGTGTGTGTGTGTGTGTGTTCCCCGCCAAGCCACAACGAAGTAGGCCGGGTTATCGAACGCGTCCCAAGATCTTTTGTTGTGATAGGTTAGGTTAGGTTTGCCGACAGGGTTCATATCTGGGGTAGGGTAGCTTAAGGTTAGGTTTGGGTAGGTTAAATTTGGTTTGTTTGGTTGGGGTAGCTTAGCGTTAGATTAGGTTAAGTTAGGGTAGGTTAAGATCAGGGTAGGTTAAGTTAAGATCAGGGTAGGTACTGTAGGTTAGGGTAGGTTAAAGTTAAGATCAGGGTGGTACTGTAGGTTAAGATCAGGTTAAGTTAAGATCAAATGAGTACTGTAGGTTAGGGTGGGTTAAGTTAAGATCAGGGCTGGGGATCAGGTACTGGGTTAGGGTAGGTCAGGCATCTGTGGAAGGTTAGGCAGGGTAGGTGGATCAGGGTATAGCAGGTTAAAGCAGGGTAGGTACTGAGGTTAGGGTAGGTTAAGTTAAGATCAGGGTAGGTACTGTAGGTTAGGCACTGTAGTTAGGGTTAAGTTAAGATCAGGGTAGGTTACTGTAGGTTAGGGTAGGTTAAGTTAAGATCAGGGTAGGTACTGTAGGTTAGGGTAGGTTAAGTTAAGATCAGGGTAGGTACTGTAGGTTAGGGTAGGTTAAGTTAAGATCAGGGTAGGTACTGTAGGTTAGGGTAGGTTAAGTTAAGATCAGGGTAGGTACTGTAGGTTAGGGTAGGTTAAGTTAAGATCAGGGTAGGTACTGTAGGTTAGGGTAGGTTAAGTTATCAGGGTAAGGTACTGTAGGTTAGGGTAGGTTAAGTTAGGGTAGGTTAAGATCAGGGTAAGGTACTGTAGGTTAGGGTAGGTTAAGTTAAGATCAGGGTAGGTACTGTAGGTACAGGGTAGGTACTGTAGGTTAGGGTAGGTTAAGTTAAGATCAGGGTAGGTACTGTAGGTTAGGGTAGGTTAAGTTAAGATCAGGGTAGGTACTGTAGGTTAGGGTAGGTTAAGTTAAGATCAGGGTAGGTACTGTAGGTTAGGGTAGGTTAAGTTAAGATCAGGGTAGGTACTGTAGGTTAGGGTAGGTTAAGTTAGGGTAGGTTAAGATCAGGGTAAGGTACTGTAGGTTAGGGTAGGTTAAGTTAGGGTAGGTTAAGATCAGGGTAAGGTACTGTAGGTTAGGGTAGGTTAAGATCAGGGTAAGGTACTGTAGGTTAGGGTAGGTTAAATTTGGTTTGTTTGGTTAAGGTAGGTTAAGCTGGGTTAAGTTAAGTTAGGTTAGCGTTAGGATTGTTAAACTCCAAGTAAAATAAGCTATGGTTGCCTAATCTTCAGGTAGCATGAAAGGTCGACCAGGTAGGAACACACTCTTACACACCTTGGGCCTTAGTGTGTGTGTGACGTCCATACAGTGACAGCAAAATACACCTCCAGTGAGAGGCTTATGGTCCCCCTCCCTCCCCCTACCCCCTCCTCTTCCAGTTTATTTCACCCTCGCGTTACCTACGAGGGGTTAAATTCGGTTAAGCCAACGTTATTGTGATTAATTTGTATGGTTAAATAAGCCGAGGTGGGTTAATCGCCTCGTAATGTCATTGTACTGGAGTTATTAATACCCGTTTTTTCATTATCTTTCATTATCATCTTTGTACATACGTAAATTATGAATTGAATTTATACGCTGTGAAATATTTGAATGAATCAAACAGAAGTCGGGAGTTTTCTTTCATCTTTGGATTTGAAATAAGTGAAATATTTTATCGAATTATCCTTTGAGGTATTTTTTGGGGGGGGCGGAAGATGAGGGAGGAGGGAAGAAAGCGGCGTAAGTGAAAGAGGAGAAGGGGAGGAGGAAGAGGAGGAGCCAGGTAAGAGACTAGGTCCTACACCAAGGAAGTCAAGTCATAACAGTCAGTCTACTCTGGACAGTGAGTGACCACAGGCGCGCGCACCGCTAAACTCACCGACCTGCCCACATAGGTCCTCTACCCGCGACCTGTATACCCGGCACGACCTGTATACCCGATACGACCTGTATACCCGGCACGACCTGCAAGAGTTGACTTCTTCAGGCAGGTCGTAATCCTTCACCCTCCCCCAGCGACCTGTAACGTCATCACCAGGTAGGTCACTTTCCCAAGACCTGTGAGGTATAAGCAGGTCACAGGTTATATCTATTCACGACCTGTAAACGTTGTGTAGGTAGGTTACAGTCACGACCTACATAGTTTATTTCACCTTAAGATTAACCAACCTAATCTAACCTAACGCTAATCTAACCTGACCTTACCTAATCTAAGCTGGAAGGTTAATCTTCATGTTAGATTAGGTTAAGAGAGAGAGAGAGAGAGAGAGAGAGAGAGAGAGAGAGAGCAGCGTAGGTCGGGGGGAAACTTAACCATTCACCAATCTCAATTTTAACCTAACCTAACCAGAGATATCATTCTATACCAGTGTCCCGCCTCACGAAATTAACATATCATTCTCCTGATATAAAGAAGAAGAAATAGAATGATTAGAAAATGAAAAATCAGATGAAAAGTAAAAGTTAAAAGTAAAAGTATCTTGAGACAGTGTTGCCACAGTGGAGAGGAATCCTTATTGTTATTTTAAGTATTTCGAGAATAGCTAAAGGATTCTATGGTGGTCAATTCAACCCCCTTATCAAGCCATCATCTGCCAGCTCATCTACCAGTGAACTCAAATCCTGTCAACGCAAACCCTCCCCCTGTCAACCCAACCTCTGTTTATTTACTTGGATTTAGAAACGTAAGAGCGATGGTGAAACTGGAGGGGGGTGGGAGAGGGAAGGAGGGAGAGGGAAGGAGGGAGAGAGGGAGGAGGGAGAGAGGGAGGAGGGAGAGGGAAGGAGAGAGGGATGAGGGAGAGGGAGGGAAGGAAAGGTAGGCCAACTCCAGAAAAAAAAGGTTAACCTCCATATACAACACGCATATAACATACACTACACACACAACATTCACCCATTCTTCCTTGGTAACATAAACACGCACCAGACAGTACATTATCATTCACTGGTCATCACGAGACTAAGCATGCGCCGAGTGTTAACCTAAAGGACCCAGGTAGGAGTGGTTATCGTACATACATTGAATATATTAATGAACATACAACAGAGGGTTAATTATTCTTGTGTATATTTTGTGATATAGACGAAATGGAGAAGTATTACTGTAGGTTAAGGTTAGGTTAGGACTGCCATTAAGTCACCCCTTGTCTCTCAGAGCATAAACTAGCCATATTTCTGGGACCAAACGGGGTGATAGTACTCTAGACGGTGTGACAGTACTCTAAATGGGGTGACAGTACTCTAGACGGGGTGAGAGTACTCTAGATGGGGTGAGAGTACTCTAGACGGAGTGATAGTACTCTAGACGGGGTGATAGTACTCTAGATGGGGTGATAGTACTCTAGATGGGGTGACAGTACTCTAGATGGAGTGACAGTACTCTAGATGGGGAGACAGTACTCCAGACGGGGAAGTACTCCAGACGATTATTATACTAAGTTAATCCTGTACTAGCGTGTCTGTACAGGAATGGGCATCTGGACACACGAACAGAATATCTTCCCCCTTAATACAAATAAGTTAGGAAAATTTGGTCATGAAAAAAAAAGGTAAATATGGAAATTTTATCGGAGAAAACGGCATTAAAAATAGGGATAACTTCTCAATTTTGGTTTGATATAAGAATTGATTTATTTATTTACCATTTGATATATTTATAACTAACTTGTCACCCTAGGGATTAATAGAATCACACTGGACAATATCTTTCTCACATATAACCCAAACTGTCCTCGAACCTGGGCATATTAGTGAAAAAAAATCAAGCGTCCAATATGCCATCAACATCTTTCGGAGTTGACCATTTCGCTGCCTCAGATTGACTTTGCCCCAACACCAAACAGTATACATCAGTAGTCTTTATTAGTCTGTGTGGTGAGCAGAGACAATCCATAATGTATGTATACTGTATGTTGATACGTGTACTTGTGCTTGTAGACAGTATACTTTTTGTACGTGTATGTTTAGGTATTCAGTTAAGTCTTCATATAGCTTAATTTAGCCTAGTCTATCCTTATCTAAGCTAATATATCTAAACCTAAGCTAACCTAACTAAATCTATCCATAACTAACCAAACCTAATCTATCCTTACCTAAGTTAACCTAATCCATCCTCACGAAATCTAAACTATCCTAAATGAACCTAATCTACCCTAACCAAACCCTCTACCAAGGAACATTAGATATCCAACAGGTAACAGCGACCATTACTAGTGTATATTTTACCATCCATCATCCGCACAGTGATATCATCGTCCCTATCTCGTGTGTATAATAATGCTTCACGTAACTTATTATACTTGTTCTATAATACCTATCCTGACTAGCCTGTTGTAGTGTTTATGTTGTGGAGAGAGAGAGAGAGAGAGAGAGAGAGAGAGAGAGAGAGAGAGAGAGAGAGAGAGAGAGAGAGAGAGTACAATGCCCCCAGAGATGACAAACTGAAATGCTTCTCAAATGTTTTAAGTACATCTTGTAAGTACACTATAATAAAGTAAGTCTTGTAAGTACACTATATAAGTATTTAAGTGTTGTAACATGTATTCTTAACAAGATCCATACACTAGGCAGTAAATAACATCAATTAAAAAGATCATAAGAAAAAAAGAGTTATTACTGACAGACACACGTACACCATCTTCACAGCCCATTGTAATCCCGAATTCAAACCATTTCCTGTTATGATGTTGGGTGGCTAAGCAGGTGTTGGGGTAGTTCCTTAGCATTCAACAGGTAAGTTGTGTGTTGCTGAAGGTGTTGTTGATAAGTTTATTCCACCATCAGAAGAAAATTACGTCACAGGCACCCCCATGTATTCACCCCAGTTCCAATAATGTGTTAGATGAGGTGCTGGGAGTATGTTCTTATAAAATTTGTGGATCTGTTTTTTTGGCAGTAATTCTGAAGTTGTTGACGCTACTTTAAATTACGATGATTATTACAGCCACAGTAGGATATGTTCCCGCCATAATAGGATAAACTAGAGAGAGAGAAAGAGTGTTTACGACAACTTTGCTGGAGTGTTAAATGTGAAACAGATGGCCCTCCTCTCGGGCTGACTTGCTCCCTGTGGGGTTCAGAAGACAGTCTCGATCTGTCTAGTGACCTATCAAGTCAGGGAGTTAATAAGTCCTTCATTAGACCCTAAACACCTAAGTTTTATATGGTTTAACACCCTACTCTACTCAAATATACTCTATGTAGTCGCTAATAGCGATGGAACATACGATTGAATTAATTATCTCGCATGTAACATGTAATTTGTACTCTGCAGGTTTTGACCGGACGGCTTGTTGTTGTTGTTATAGGTTAGGATTTGTGTATCTTATTATTGGCGTTGCATCAGCATTTTTAGATGAAGGCAAACGCAATAATTTTTCTGTTGGGCAAGAGGCTTATTCGCCGGCAGGCAGTATCGAACGGACAGGCAGCCGTCCAAAGCCCCGTCCGTCCTCCTGTTGCGCGCTCTCGCCCTAGTGTGATCTGTTTAGTTTTGGGAATCTCAGTGACTTCTGGTCCCTTTATGTTTGTTTTTTGGGTTGGCAGGGGCCGGGATTGTTTTTCGCCGCTGGAGTTTTGAGCGCAGAGCCTGAAACCGCCCACGTTTTGACTGTAGCCGCCCATTGAGCGACTGTGGGTTAATGAGACCCTTACACGTAGGACTCGAATGTTCTTTATTCGGTCTAATGAAGGACTTATTAACTCCCTGACTTGATAGGTCACTGGACAGATCGAGACTGTCTTCTGAACCCCACAGGGAGCAAGTCAGCCCGAGAGGAGGGCCATCTGTTTCACATTTCATACTCCAGCAAAGTTGTCGTAAACACTCTTTCTCTCTCTCTAGTTTATCCTATTATGGCGGGAACATATCCTACTGTGGCAGTAACAATGATGATATACTGTATGTATACTTGAGGGTGTAAACAGTGTAGGTGGAAATGTTTTGTGGAGAATATTGTGTGTAAATAAATATTTCACTGTGGTCATTTAACAATCTCCAACTGTATCCACTGCCACCCCCCCCCCTTCGTCCTTGGTGAAGCACTGTAATGTCACCGCCAGCCTTGTGACAAACCTCCGGGGATTTCCAACTCAAGGAACAACTACAACAGAGATCAAAATGTGAGCCTCAATACAATAGTGGTCGACCAGCCTTCACCCCAACCTCTTCCACCATCTTGGATATGTTCCAATAATATTTTTTTACACCGTTCCAACCGTATTACCGCCTCCTGAAGCATATCAATGTATGCTTTTATATACAAACCAGTTTACTGAGAGATATTAACAAGAATTAAAATCAGGAGTAAGGATGGAAAGAGATGAGAAAAACAATGCTGCAAGATGAGGTTCCCACCATATGCTGATGGGGAAAGTACCGTCTCATGCATGTTTCAACACTACTACTCGTCCTAGGACAGACCAGAATGGGAATTGACATGGTCATTTTCTAAGCCTTATGTAATATTTCATGATACATAAAATGATCGATTGTTTAGGATCCACCTGAAAATTAGACACCACAACCTAATGATTAAGAACACCTTGACCTAACCTGACCTCACGCCCCATTCAGGTCACACCACGAGTCTTACCTCACTTTTATCTCAATACTTAGGCACTACGGTATTATGATTCATTAATTAATAAATATAATACTTAAAAAAAATCACACCTGACCAACAACAGCAAAGGTCACGTCATAAGTGTATAATATTTTATAATCTTCCAGTAATACCCTTCATAACAGGTTATACCCGTTTAAAAATTAAACCCAAGATAAATTCCATTGTTGACATTTTTGGTGTAATAAATTCGTTAAGATTGTCAGAATTTTTTTGGTCCAAACTATATATAATTAGATGTTTATTATTGTTTTTATTTGATTAAGTTGGCAACATGCTTTACTATTGCCATATGAGAGTCCCACCATTATCAAAACACATGATTGACATTATCACAAATATGCAAACCTTTTTTTCTTCTTATAAATTTACTGGTCCGTCATCAAACAAAATTGATGACTGGATGAATAATTGTCTCATTATTGTAAACCAAAGATGTAAATTACAACCTTTGAGAATTTATAATAAGTTTTCCATGAATACAAAAAATGATCAAAATGTTCTTCAGTGTTGTTCAAATGAGCAGATGCAGTGGCCATTTTTTATGTATTTTTCGTTTATTATTATTTTGTTTCAACATTAATATCCATTTTCTTGTACTACGTGAAGAAGATTGGATACTCTAGTTCATTTCACCTGATGATTAAATATCCCAAAACTAACTTAACGTAATCTGACATATCATTATTACCTAACCTGACCTCACCTAATCTGACATATCATTATTACCTAACCTGACCTCACCTAATCTGACATATCATTATTACCTAACCTGACATATCATTATTACCTAACCTGACCTCACCTAATCTGACATATCATTATTACCTAACCTGACCTCACCTATTCTGACATATCATTATTACCTAACCTGACCTCACCTAATCTGACATATCATTATTACCTAACCTGACCTCACCTAATCTGACATATCATTATTACCTAACCTGACCTCACCTAATCTGACATATCATTATTACCTAACCTGACATATCATTATTACCTAACCTTACGTCACCTAATCTGACATATCATTATTACCTAACCTGACCTCACCTAATCTGACATATCATTATTACCTAACCTGACTTCACCTAATCTGACATATCATTATTACCTAACCTCACCTAATCTGACATATCATTATTACTAACCTGACCTCACCTAATCTGACATATCATTATTACTGAACCTAATACATATCATTATTACCTGACATATCATTATTACCTAACCTCACCTCACCTAATCTGACATATCATTATTACCTAACCTGACCTCACCTAATCTGACATATCATTATTACCTAACCTGACTTCACCTAATCTGACATATCATTATTACCTAACCTGACCTCACCTAATCTGACATATCATTATTACCTAACCTGACTTCACCTAATCTGACATATCATTATTACCTAACCTCACCTAATCTGACATATCATTATTACCTAACCTGACATATCATTATTACCTAACCTGACTTCACCTAATCTGACATATCATTATTACCTAACCTGACCTCACCTAATCTGACATATCATTATTACCTAACCTGACCTCACCTAATCTGACATATCATTATTACCTAACCTGACTTCACCTAATGTGACATATCATTATTACCTAACCTCACCTAATCTGACATATCATTATTACCTAACCTGACCTCACCTAATCTGACATATCATTATTACCTAACCTGACTTCACTTAATCTGACATATCATTATTACCTAACCTGACCTCACCTAATCTGACATATCATTATTACCTAACCTGACCTCACCTAATCTGACATATCATTATTACCTAACCTGACCTCACCTAATCTGACATATCATTATTACCTAACCTGACGTCACCTAATCTGACATATCATTATTACCTAACCTGACGTCACCTAATCTGACATATCATTATTACCTAACCTGACCTCACCTAATCTACCCTTGTCTAACCTACCTTTACCATACAGAATCTAACCTTACCCTTATATTTAGACAGAAAGACACAGAGAGATAAATGCAGATAGATATATAGACATGTAGATAGATAGACAGACAGACAGATAATGTGAGATGGATGAATGGATGGACAGATATTCAGTAAAATTATCATAAAAATTCTCAATGACTCAGAATGTACCTAGACAGTGCAGGTATACAATGTACCTAGCCAGTGCAGGTATAAAATGTACCAAGACAGTGCAGGAATACAATGTACCAAGACAGTGCAGGTATACAATGTACCTAGACAGTGCAGGCATACAATGTACCTAGACAATGCAGGTATACAATGTACCAAGACAGAGCAGGTATACAATGTACCTAGACAGTGCAGGTATACAATGTACCTAGACAGTGCAGGTATAAAATGTACCTAGACAGTGCAGGTATACAATGTACCAAGACAGTGCAGGTATACAATGTACCTAGCCAGTGCAGGTATAAAATGTACCAAGACAGTGCAGGTATACAATGTACCTAGACAGTGCAGGTATACAATGTACCTACAGTGCAGGTATACAATGTACCTAGACAGTGCAGGTATACAATGTACCTGGACAGTGCAGGTATACAAACAAATATTCATTAATAATATCCAGTTAAAATCACAGTTTCTCACCAGTCAACTTCTCTCTCTTACATATTTGTAATTCCCCAAATACCATTTTTCTCTCATTTCTTTACAAATTAATTTAAAACCAATAATTTTAAAGTTTACTGGGCTAAAAATACGTCTCTTTAAGAGTTAATATATAATAATAGTTTCATTTCAATATTTTTTTTTAATATGCACAAAAACATTATTCTAAAATATATCTCCTGGTAATATACAAGATAGCTATCCATTTTAAACATAATAATTTCATAGATAATTATGCATAAAAGAAACAACTTAGGCGTCATTATACTCGACAAACAACAAGTCTTTTTAATAGCCCCTAAAGCATTATAGAGTAGAAGACAATTAATTTTATTATACTTAATAAACTCATATTTTTTCTAGTCTAACTATAATACCTCAGAGGTTATCAAGTTTTATAATGAGTTACAGCAGGGTACATGTTTTATGACTTTGTGTACAGCCCACAAGAAAAAAATAATGAAATAGGCAAATTAAAAAGCTAAAAAATCAATACAAATTTTAACTCTCCACAATGAACTTGAGCAAGTATGATATAATATACTGCAGTAGTGTTAGGAATGTATTTGATGTTAGATGGCAGTGTGTATACAAACTTCTGAGACATCCTGTATGTATGTATGTATGCATTAAAGAGGAAAAGACAAATGTATAATATATAAAAATTCGTCTACAGTTATTTATCTACCTTGAACATAATACATAAACTTATGAAGGAATGTTTGGGGAGCAATGAGCCAGAGTGATCACATTTAACTGCTCATATAAAAGTTGAAATAACTGCAATAATAATTCTATCAATTTTAAACTGCAAATAATAAGTTGAATTTTCTCCCACAGTGAAATTAGTATTGTTTTTTGGCCTCTCAAAAAAGAAAATGAGGATATGTTTTTATGATTTGATTCATGAATGTTTCCCAAAGCGAACAAATTAGTGAGATGGCAGCCCAAACAAAATTCCAACGAGTAACAATCATTATGTAAAGGTTTATCCTACAGGGTTTAAACTTTGATCACTTATACAGTATATTGTGAAGCAGTTTGTTATGGTTGTGTATAGACCCACTACCTGCCTCCCTGAGCTATGATGAGTCTTCTCACTTGTGTTCAGGGTACCAAACAAAATCTCAAAATAACATAACTTCCAAACACCTCTTAATAAATGTTTACACTGTATATCATCGATAGGTTTATCACAGGATACCGTCTATACGACATCTTTGCAGCGAACGATTCACCTCAGTGTAATAATGTACTCAGGGTAGTATTCCTGCTTATCATATTTCACGATCACAGATGTACCGTCGCCAGTAGAGTCGTATGGTGCACCAGTGGCTGGGTTGGTGGGTGGCCGCGCCATTGCCGAGTTTCCTGGGACGATAGATCCGACAGCAACACGAGCGACAAACATATACCTCAAGCCTGCAGAGTCGTTCCTGGAGTAACCATATGAAGTTCCAGCATTTGGGGAGAAGTAAGTGCCACGACCACAAGCCTGACCTGTACTGGATCCATGAAGTCTCCAGTCAAAGTTTTCAGCACAGATGCTGGCTACCACGTCTGGTCTAGTGCCATGAAACACTTGGCGAACATCCACCTTCTTTATATCCCCATAAACTGTCACCATCTCTTTGATCTTGTTCTGTAATGCTCTCCACAAGAACGGATTCTGAATTCTCTCGATTTTTACAACACTGGTATTGGGAACACCACTTCCTAGAAGACCCACAACAGTCTGGTACTCTGGGGAGGTAGATGCTACGGTGACAAGACGGATACGTTCCTCTGGCTGCATTGGATCCCAGGTAGATGGTAAGTCACTTGAGGTAGTACCAGTGGCTGTTGTACCAGTGGCTGTTGTACCAGTGGCTGTTGTACCAGTGGCTGAGTTCTGGTTATCTCCTGTGTTCCCATCTTTAAGGTGAGGTTCCGGGCGCCTACGAACCTCACGTCCTACTTTCGTGTTTTGGTTTGTCTGAATCATAGTAACAAAGTCTAAGATGTATGTATATTTTGAGTTCTTGAAGGTTAATGGAACATGTTGATTCTTGAGGAAGTGCCTCTCAATATCAGCAGACGAGACACTGCTCACTAGTTTGCTTTCGTTTGCAGTATCTACATTGCCATATTTGATCCATTTCTTGTTTATATCCACAAAGTACCAGCTGTAGATGTTTGCTTTAATTTGCTGTCCTGCAATACATTCTGTACACAACCGTCGAAGGTACAGTATTCTGGACTGATCAGAGTTAGTTATGATCATGCACTGAAAGTTAGCCTGCCAGCTATCACGACCCAGTACAGTAAGGAGTTGTTTTACTGATGGGTTAAGTTTGGCCGGGTCCAGACGTGGGATGACGACTCCATCTTGAGCCTGATCACAGAAGGCCTGTTCCAAGATCTGGGCCTGGAAGGATCGCAAGTTGAGCCACTTGCTGCCCTGTTCACTAATCTGCCAATGAAAGTGCTGAGATGCGTGGAGTCTCTGGCATCCACTACTTTCATTCCTACATAAATTCTCAACTGAATAATAACAAATTTCGTTTACTTCAGTGTCACCTTCAAGATAATGAGACCAAACTGTCTGGCACTTCTGTTTCTTCTGTACAGATGACTTCTTGATCCTAGCTGAGTCACCGGTGTCCTTCTTACCGTGTCTTGTATATGTGTAACCTCCTTTATCTGACTTACTGGGTGTTGAGGTGTCTTGACTCTTACTCTCAACTGAAGGCTGTGCAAAAGCTTGCTTATCAGAGGCATTTCCTATGATCCTTTGTCTAAGCCGAGACATGATACCTGCACCATCTGATCTGCCACTTCTTGTCGCTCCTATGTTCTGTTGTTGGTTTGAGGTGGTGGTGCTTGTACTAGCCTGGCTAGAGGAAGGTGCTGCTGTTGTTGGTGGTGATGCTGCTTGTTTCCCATGACCAGCATTTGCAAGGGAAGGATAGGCAGCAAGTAGTGCAAAAGCCACATCTCGTGGTGCCTCATTAGTAGAAAAACCATGAGACCATAGCAATGTAGAGCATTCAGGAGTGAGAAGATCATGGTTCAGTTTACATCTAGTGAAGGAGCACTTTGTTAGTCCACTCACAAAACTGAGGCACACGTGTAAAGCTCCACAATCTGTCTTATTACAACCTTTCCCATTATAATCACGACAAACATCTAACTGGCCAGTGGGTCCTGCAGGTTTTGTGAGACCTTTCATAAGGTTCCTCAGTGACGGCGGTGGTAAACGGTCAAGATAGAAGTCCCGGAGAGTAGCGATATTGTGGTCCGTGTACCACTTATGACCAAATACACAGGGCCTGTCACCACAATATCTAGTAATATAGATTAAACATATGTGTAGGTCTTGGCAGGAGGAACGTTTCTGGCATCCTTGAGGTCCTGAATGTGGAATACAAATGTTAACCTTAGGCTGGAGCTCTACAAACTCTCCATTAAAAGCAAAGACCTGACTGTTACTTGAAACAACTTCCCGCACAGCAGATAGTTGCAAGTCCTTCCACTCCAGAAGTTGCAGAAGAGTGGCACGAAAGTTAGGGCACTCGGCTAAGGCTTCCACCAGGACCCAGGGTCTAATTCCTTTCCCTTGACCCCTATAAGTATTTTTTTGAGAATAGTTCCAGTCACCTGGATCTCTACAGGGGCCACTTGGAGTAAAGTTCCTGTCGTTAGGGTCATTATAAGAACCTCTTGGAAAATAGTTCCTCGCATCTTGACTTCTAAAATGACCTCGTGAAGTATGACTCCGTTCATACCAATCATTAGAGGCACCTCTGGGAGTACAGCTCTCACTATACTGATCACAGTAGGAATCTCTTGGTGAATAGTTCCCATCACAATGTTGGCTGAAGCCACCTCTCTGAGAGTAACCACCACGGCTCTTATTCTTACATCCCTGTTGACGCTGATTTTGTTTTCTGCAGCTTCCTCTGTCGGGCTGATCTCTGTAATATCTCCCTCGTTGTTGCCCCACCGGCTCATCCTGCAACTTCCTATAATCAACATCACTACTGCTGTAACCTTCTGTCCGAGGAGTGTGCGGCTTCTTAAGGGACCTTCCTCGAGCGAAATTCCCTCGATAACCTTGTGATTCACCTCGACTTTGACCGCGCCCTCTACTGTCTCGTGTATTTTCCTGAGGAGTGCAAATTATCGTTAATAAAAATAAACGGGCAATGCCAATTAATCAATACATGTACTGTTAACCTACGCTATGTATAATAACAACTAGATCCAGGGTGGGTGCTCCTCACTGCAGTTGATCTGGGGTCAAATGAAAGCCTGAAAGAAAGTTGTATAGAATCTACAACAGGGCACCCAGAACCTTGCCTTTGTCCACTCTATACACTGTCCCTAAGTCTGCTCTATACACTGTGGTTCCATTTAGGTCAAGTCAAGTCGGCTATGAAGTGGCAAAAAAAAAAAAAAATAATAATAATAATTCGCTCTAACAACCAACACACACAAACGACATCGCTCTTAACAACCAACACACACAAACGACATCGCTCTTAACAACCATGACACAACACTGAAGTCAATAATTACCTTTACACTTGTGGACCTGGTGTCAGATCTTCCACACTTCAGCATCACCTTTTCCATCGGGTCATTTAGATCTTCCTCCCAGTCTAGGGTGTCCTGAACTGAAATATAGAGATATCTTAACTTAAATATAGAGAGATAGTGAGATATCTTAACTTAAATATAGAGAGATAGTGAGATATCTTAACTTAAATATAGAGAGATAGTGAGATATCTTAACTTAAATATAGAGAGATAGTGAGATATTTAGTCATCACAATGCAGCTTATATCATGGGTGACATCTTCACGTCGACTGATTCTGTACAATGGGAAGTTAACATTCAGCATGATATAATAAGACTAGTAGCTATATTATAATGAACATGATATTACCGGCCAAAAAAACTACCGATATTACCGACCCAAACTAAATAAACTTGCACTTAATTTAGCCTCAACTTAAACTGTTCTAAACAGCTTCAAGAAAATTATTACAACGCAGTATACAAAATTTTTTATATAAGTTAGGTTAGATAAGGTTAGGTTAGGGAAGATGAGGTTAAGTTAGGTAAGTTAGGGAAGATGAGGCTAGATAAGGTTAGGTTAGGGAAGATGAGGTTAAGTTAGGTAGGTTAGGGAAGATGAGGTTAGATAAGGTTAGGTGAGGGAAGATGAGTTTAAGTTAGGTAGGTTAGGGAAGATGAGGTTAAGTTAGGTAGGTTAGGGAAGATGAGGTTAGATAAGGTTAGGTTAGGAAAGATGAGGTTAAGTTAGGTAGGTTAGGGAAGATGAGGTTAAGTTAGGTAGGTTAGGGAAGATGAGGTTAGATAAGGTTAGGTTAGGGAAGATGAGGTTAAGTTAGGTAGGTTAGGGAAGATGAGGTTAGATAAGGTTAGGTTAGGGAAGATGAGGTTAAGTTAGGTAGGTTAGGGAAGATGAGGTTAGATAAGGTTAGGTGAGGGAAGATGAGGTAAGATAAGGTTAGGTGAGGGAAGATGAGGTTAGATAAGGTTAGGTTAGGTTAGGGAAGATGAGGTTAAGTTAGGTAGGTTAGGGCAGATGAGGTTAGGTTAGGGAAGATACATACCTTCATCTGCAGCGCCTTCAATATACTGCTGGGAGTACTGCAGAGTGAGCGAGTCCAAGTTTACCTGATGCACAGGCCTGTTGTCTTCCTGATGCATAGGCCTGTTGTCTTCCTGATGCATAGGCCTGTTGTCTTCCTGATGCATAGGCCTGTTGTCTTCCTGACCTATAGGCCTGTTGTCTTCCTGGTGCATAGGCCTGTTGTCTTCCTGACCCATAGGCCTGTTGTCTTCCTGATGCATAGGCCTGTTGTCTTCCTGATGCATAGGCCTGTTGTCTTCCTGATGCATAGGCCTGTTGTCTTCCTGATGCATAGGCCTGTTGTCTTCCTGATGCATAGGCCTGTTGTGATGCATAGGCCTGTTGTCTTCTGATGCATAGGCCTGTTGTCTTCCTGATGCATAGGCCTGTTGTCTTCCTGATGCATAGGCCTGTTGTCTTCCTGATGCATAGGCCTGTTGTCTTCCTGACCCATAGGCCTGTTGTCTTCCTGATGCATAGGCCTGTTGTCTTCCTGATGCATAGGCCTGTTGTCTTCCTGATGCATAGGCCTGTTGTCTACTTCCTCCTTCGTACGTCTGTCTACTTCCTCCTTCGTACGTCTGTCTACTTCCTCCTTCAAACGTCTGTCTACTTCCTCCTTCGTACGTCTGTCTACCTCCTCCTTCAAACGTCTGTCTACTTCCTCCTTCAAACGTCTGTCTACTTCCTCCTTCGTACGTCTGTCTATCTCCTCCTTCATAAGTCTGTCTACTTCCTCCTTCGTACGTCTGTCTACCTCCTCCTTCATACGTCTGTCTATCTCCTCCTTCATACGTCTGTCTATCTCCTCCTTCATACGTCTGTCTACCTCCTTCAAACGTCTGTCTACCTCCTCCTTCATACGTCTGTTCTCTTCCTTCATACACCTGTCCTCTTGATTCATACACCTGTTCTCTTCCTTCATACACCTGTCCACCTCCTCCTGACCCATACGTCTGTACTCCTCTTCCTTCATACGTCTGTCTACCTCCTTTTCCTTCATACACCTGTCTTCCTCTTCCTTCATATACCTGTCCACCTCCTCCTGACCCATACGTCTGTACTCCTCTTCCTTCATACGTCTGTACTCCTCTTCCTTCATACGTCTGTACTCCTCTTCCTTCATACGTCTGTACTCCTCTTCCTTCATACACCTCTCTTCCTCTTCCTTCATACGTCTGTACTCCTCTTCCTTAATACGTCTGTACTCCTCTTCCTTCATTTGTCTGTACTCCTCTTCCTTCATTTGTCTGTCCTCCTCTTCCTTCATACACCTGTCCTCCTCTTCCTTCATACGTCTGTCTACCTCCTCTTCCTTAATACGTCTGTACTCCTCTTCCTTCATTTGTCTGTACTCCTCTTCCTTAATACGTCTGTACTCCTCTTCCTTCATTTGTCTGTCCTCCTCTTCCTTCATACACCTGTCCTCCTCTTCCTTCATACGTCTGTCTACCTCCTCTTCCTTCATACGTCTGTACTCCCCTTCCTTCATTTGTCTGTCCTCCTCTTCCTTCATATGCCTGTCCTCCTCTTCCTTCATACGTCCGTACTCCCCTTCCTTCATTGCCTGTCCTCCTCTTCCTTCATACGCCTGTCCTCCTCTTCCTTCATCGCCTGTCCTCCTCTTCCTTCCCGCCTGTCCTCCTCTTCCTTCATTTGTCTGTACTCCCTTCCTTCATCCGCCTGTCCTCCTCTTCCTTCATTTGTCTGTACTCCCCTTCCCGCCTGTCCTCCTCTTCCTTCATCGCCTACCTGTCCTCCTCTTCCTTCATACGCCTGTCCTCCTCTTCCTTCATACGCCTGTCCTCCTCTTCTTCATACGTCTGTCCTCCTCTTGATTCATACACCTGTCCTCCTCTTCCTTCATACGTCTGTACTCCCCTTCCTTCATACGCCTGTCCTCCTCTTCCTTCATACGCCTGTCCTCCTCTTCCTTCATTTGTCTGTCCTCCCCTTCCTTCATACGCCTGTCCTCCTCTTCCTTCATACGCCTGTCCTCCTCTTCCTTCATACGCCTGTCCTCCTCTTCCTTCATACGCCTGTCCTCCTCTTGATTCATACACCTGTCCTCCTCTTGATTCATACACCTGTCCTCCACTTCCTGCATACGTCTGTTCTCCTCCCGACTAAACTTCTCCATCCGTCGCAGCCTCAATATTTGCATCTCTCGCTGCCTCAACATCTCCGTCTCTCGCTGCCTCTCCATCTCCATCTCACGCTGCCTCTCCATCTCCGTCTCTCGCTGCTTCTCCATGTCCATCTGTCGCTGCCTCTCCATCTCCATCTCTCGCTGCCTCTCCATCTGTCGCTGCCTCAACATCCGCATCTCTTCCTTCACAACAGCATCCATACTGTTTTCTGCCAAGCCTTCATTATCCATCTGAGAACAAATGAGAACTTATTAAGCTTCTGCCAGATGGAATTGTAATCGTCCTTTGATATGACCTTTGAGGGATGATATTTTGTCTTAGCTAGTGTACACCCTGGTCTATAGTGTACACCCTGGTCTATAGTGTACACCCTGGTCTATAGTGTACACCCTGGTCTATAGTGTACACCCTGGTCTATAGTGTACACCCTGGTCTATAGTGTACACCCTGGTCTATAGTGTACACCTTGGTCTATAGTATACACCTTGGTCTATAGTGTACACCCTGGTCTATAGTGTACACCCTGGTCTATAGTGTACACCCTGGTCTATAGTGTACACCCTGGTCTATAGTGTACACCCTGGTCTATAGTGTACACCCTGGTCTATAGTGTACACCCTGGTCTATAGTGTACACCCTGGTCTATAGTGTACACCCTGGTCTATAGTGTACACCCTGGTCTATAGTGTACACCCTGGTCTATAGTATACACCTGGTCTATAGATCAACACCCTGGTCTATAGTGTGTACACCCTGGTCTATGGAGTGTACACCTGGTCTATAGTGTACACCCTGGTCTATAGTGTACACCCTGGTCTATAGTGTACACCCTGGTCTATAGTGTACACCTTGGTCTATAGTATACACCTTGGTCTATAGTGTACACCCTGGTCTATAGTGTACACCCTGGTCTATAGTGTACACCCTGGTCTATAGTGTACACCCTGGTCTATAGTGTACACCCTGGTCTATAGTATACACCCTGGTCTATAGTGTACACCCTGGTCTATAGTGTACACCCTGGTCTATAGTGTACACCCTGGTCTATAGTGTACACCCTGGTCTATAGTGTACACCCTGGTCTATAGTGTACACCCTGGTCTATAGTGTACACCCTGGTCTATAGTGTACACTCTGGTCTATAGTGTACACCCTGGTCTATAGTGTACACCCTGGTCTATAGTGTACACTCTGGTCTATAGTGTACACTCTGGTCTATAGTGTACACCCTGGTCTATAGTGTACACCCTGGTCTATAGTGTACACCCTGGTCTATAGTGTACACCCTGGTCTATAGTGTACACCCTGGTCTATAGTGTACACCCTGGTCTATAGTGTACACCCTGGTCTATAGTGTACACCCTGGTCTATAGTGTACACCCTGGTCTATAGTGTACACCCTGGTCTATAGTGTACACCCTGGTCTATAGTGTACACCCTGGTCTATAGTATACACCCTGGTCTATAGTGTACACCCTGGTCTATAGTGTACACCCTGGTCTATAGTGTACACCCTGGTCTATAGTGTACACCCTGGTCTATAGTGTACACCCTGGTCTATAGTATACACCCTGGTCTATAGTGTACACCCTGGTCTATAGTGTACACCTTGGTCTATAGTATACACCCTGGTCTATAGTGTACACCTTGGTCTATAGTGTACACCTTGGTCTATAGTGTACACCCTGGTCTATAGTGTACACCCTGGTCTATAGTGTACACCTTGGTCTATAGTGTACACCTTGGTCTTTAGTGTACACCCTGGTCTATAATGTACACCCTGGTCTATAGTGTACACCCTGGTCTATAGTGTACACCTCGGACTATAGTGTACACCCTGGTCTATAGTGTACACCTTGGTCTATAGTGAACACCCTGGTCTATAGTGTACACCCTGGTCTATAGTGTACACCCTGGTCTATAGTGTACACCCTGGTCTATAGTGTACACCCTGGTCTATAGTGTACACCATGACCTAGTGATCTCAAGAATGCACATAACAATTTATGAAGAAAAACAAATGAGTTAGTTACCCTGTTAACCATTAATACGCATTACATAACATTACTGAGGTCACATAACACTATAGTACTGTATTATAAAACCTGATTTATATACCGTATTACTATCTATGATCAGTCATATAACATTACAAACACTCATATCTTTCTAAACTATAGAATACAAAAATTATATAACACAGCGACTGCATTACTTGTATTTGTTAATTAATGGGAAAAAATACATCATTAATATTTTGAAGACATGGTGTAGGTGTGTTTGGCACGAGAGAATCACCACCCCCTAGCTTAATTCACCTCAAGATTAACTACCACCCTAATGCTGTTTGGGAGGGTGAGGTTAGGTTAGGTCAGGAGTTAGATAGGGTCAGGTGGGGTAGGTCAGATAAGAATCAGGGAGTGGGTCACTTAATTGGCAAAAGCTATCAATACACAAACATAGAGTCAAACATATATTAACTAAACAGTAGATCTGGTACTGTGGGAGCTGGTCTTGTGACCTGATGTCGGCGCCAACAAAGTACTTCCCACTGTCTTGATGGCCATTGTACCCGAGTGCTAAGCCGCTACCTCACTACAGCTGCAGATGTACCACGTGGTCCGGGTAGGTCCTCCACCTCACACAGGGTGTTGGAGATGGTTCTTGTTCCTCATGTGATGGAGTTAGGAATTCATAGTTCTTCACCTGGGTGGAGTAGGGGGTCCTCACTTCTCTCCTGGTGTAGTTTGGAGTGTTTCTTGGGTTCTCATCTAATGTTGGTGGTGGTGAGTGTACTGCGGGCTGAGTGTGTCATAAGAACATAAGAAAATAAGGAGTCTGCAATAGGCGGGTTGGCCTGTGCATGGCAGCTCCTGTCGAGAGTTACTACCACTCTCTATCATCCATGAATCTATCTAGCCTCCTTTTGAAACTTTCCAGCATTCCAGCACTTACTACAAAGTTGCTAAGCTTGTTCCACTCGTCCACCACCCTATTTGTGAACCTGTAATGCATTTGTATCCTGCCCTGAATTAATCTGCCGCCCTATTTTGGTGTCATCCGCAAACTTGCTTATGTCACAGCTAATCCCAGTATCTAGATCGTTAATGTAGATTATGAACAGGAGTGGGCCTAGTACTGACCCCTGAGGAACCCCACAACTCCGGTGTCTAATGATTTTGTAAATAAGTTTACGAGGGGTCCGCTAATCTGTTCCCTACACTCTTTCAAGACTCGAGGGAAAATTTCATCCGGCCCTGGGGATTTTGTTTTCTTTAGTTTATTTATCTTCTTAAGAACGTCCTCTTTTCTGATAGAGATATGTCAAGGGTCAGGTCAACATTGACTGCTAAGCACAATTGTCACTAACATTTGTTCTTTCTTTCGAGTTGAAATTGTCACCTTTGTATATTAGTTGTGGGTTGATCATCAATCTTTGTACTGTTGGTGGGAAGATGTTCATAAATCCGAATGGGGGAAAAGAAGGCCCAACAGACCAGGCTAGCAGCTGTCCCCATGGTCAAGAGACCACGGCTGCGTTAGCGGGCAGCGCCGACTACACACGTCCTTACCCTATGAAGGCTGAAGGAAGCGTGTGTGTTCATGATACCTGGACAAAACCCTCTTAGTTAAAGTACAAAGGAGGACAAAATTGGCCCTTTTTTATAGTTAATGTTTCTCAAGGTTAGGTTAGGTTAGGTCTCGTGTTAGGCTAGGTTAGGTTAAGATAGTGTTAGGATAGCGTTAGGTTAGGATAGTGTTAGGGTAAGGCAGGGCCGGATTAAGCTTAATAGGGGCCTGAGGCACAGATCAACTTGGGGCCCCCTACCCTCAAGGTATTTTTGAATAACAAGAACAAAATATACCCAAATTTATCAATGATTTCATCAATATTAAGCTTCTGCAAAATAACACATTTAATGTTCATAAGAGACAGAACATTGAGACGTTGCTAGGACATCGTTGAGCGAAGTTCATGTTTTATACGCTTCAACTTCGAGAATGTTTGGATTTGGGGGCCCCTTAGAGTCGGGGGGCCTGAGGCCAGAGCCTCAAGTGCCTCATGGTTAATCCGGCACTGAGGTAAGGTTAAGTTAGGATAGTGTGAGGTTAGGATAGATTAGGTTGGGTTAGGTTAGGCTTAGGTTGAGTTAGGGTAGCGTTAGGTTTGGTTAGGTTAGGATATGACAGGTTAGGATATGATAGGTTAGGATGATAGGATAGGCTTAGAATAAGTTAGGATAGTGTTAGGTTAGGATAGCATTAGGGTGGGTAATCTTCAGGTGAAAAACGCTGGGGTGGCGATTCTAATGGTTATCCTTAAATTTAAATAATTATATGTGTTTGTTAACAAATATAACAATAGTTAACAAGACCGAATAGTATAATGGCTTTCTTAGTACAGATTCACGTAAACGCTGACATAATTATATCCTTCACACACCCAAAATTAACAAATATCACGTTAAATTATACTTGGAATTAATAACCAATATAATCCACACATTGATTCATCTATAATCCCAAACCATCAATAAATAACATGAAATTATAAAAATCCTATATAATCCACACTGGAACGTCTTCACTAGCTAATAACTTATAAAACTAGAAATTCTCACCACTACTACTAATGCCACTCCACCACACGTCTTGTCTTACCTTTAACAACTTTTGGCGGGAAGTGTAAGTGTTGTTATAGATTTAGAATAATATCACAGACACCAGGAGTAGTCTTGACTCTTGAGAGCAGTTAACACCGAGAGAAAGCACTGAACAATGATGAAACGAAATGTAGAGAACCTGTCCAAGTATATGCTGGTCCTGAACTGAACACGTCGAGTCGACTTGAGAGAGTTAAGAGAGACAAGAATAGTCTGGTCCGTTTTCTATGATTGCTTTTTGTTTTTGTTTTGATTCCTCTGTTTACGTCGGTTACATCACGTTTCATGTTTTGATTTCTGTGTTTATCCTATTGGGGTTTTTTAAATATTTTTTTTTATTTAATGCTCTTATTTCACGGTCAATGTGTTTTGTTTACAGTTCATATAATTTAAAATACGTTGACTATATTGATTTTGTTTGTATTATTGTTAGGGTTTTATTATATAGATTTCTCAATGACGTTTGGAAAATTTTAGAGTAAGTTCCCGATATATTGATTAGGAAACAAAATATAACTATTGTTTGGTAACACTGCACCGTATGGTTCAAATTTATCGTCACAAAAACTAAATTTAACCCTCCTGACAATGTCAGATAATGTATGAACTACCCATTAATATTTTCTATACATTTATTCACTACATATAATCCTGATATTTACTGTATACAAACTATCTTTACATAACCTCCAAATAGTAGTAATTAAGTAAACGTAATTCAAAGACAGAGAAAGAGAGGAGTAAACGTCGCTCACTTCTTGACAAAACGTACAGCTAGTTGGTGGGAGGAGAGGTTTAACGTGTCCAGGGTTTGTTGCAGACGTGATGAGGGAGTAGGCGGGAAGGAGGGTGGAGAGGTGGGCAGAGGGAGAGTGCGATAACGAAGGGGTGCGAAAAGGATTAGAGGAGAAAATGGGAAGGAAGAACGAGAAGGAGGTGGGGAGAAGAATGAGGAGGTGGAGGATGGAGTGACACATGCAGAGAGAGAGAGAGAGGGTGTGGATGTTTACAGCTAGAACACGAGCCCCCAAACCCCCCCCACCCCACACACACACACACACTGCTGCCAACCGTACGACAAGGACATACATTAACATGATTCGAATTCCCCCAGAACCTTTTAATAATTCCCATATACCCTTATTGACAGACCACCATTTACCGAGATAAGTTATGACTTATAAAAGAGATTGCATCCTCATAGTGATACGCGTCATCTAAAACTAAAAATAAATTGGCCTCGATATTAAACTTTGCTTTGCTGTACACATGCATATAAACACACACACACAAGCATCATCATGACTATTGAGTTTAATTACCTACGTTACGGTGTACATGTATTAAGAACAGTATTCACAGTCCAGTATTCACTTGTTATATGAGTTTTGTGGGGTCGTGGGGTTGTGAGACGGACAGACAGCTGACAGACGCACTAAAGCTATCTCGTGGTTGTAGAGGTTAGCTACGTTATGTTAGGTAGTTAGATTAAATTAGGTTACCATTAGGATACTTAACCATCCAGTGAAATAAATTAGGGTGCATAATCTTCAGGCGATTCAATAATTACACCTACCCATCGTATACACATCAATGGCATATTTATCATGAAGAAATTACTACCACATCTTCCCACATCTGACAACACTTAGCGGTTACGTCTCTTGCTATACACTATTGGCATGTACTGGGCATAGTGTCATCTCTCTCCTCGTCAGGCCCCAGTGAACCTTGTGGGAAAAGGGATGGGGTAATGTTATGGATCAGGGGAAGATAACAACAAACGTCTTTGTGTTAGTTGGTCAGACACACTTAAAACAAAAACAGATGCACTATATTGATCTTCTCTATACCACATACTTACACACACTCACATTTACTTTCTCACATATACTCTTAGCAAACACACACACATAGCCTTAGCACACACACACATAGCATTTAGCACACACACATAGCCTTAGCACACACACACGTAGCCTTAGCACACACACACGTAGCCTTAGCACACACACACATAGCCTTAGCACACACACACATAGCCTTAGTACACACACAATAGCCTTAGCACACACACACATATGTTAGCACACACACACATAGCCTTAGCACACACACACATAGCCTTAGCACACACACATAGGCACACACACATAGCCTAGCACACACACATAGCCTTAGCACACACACACAGCCACAGCCTTAGCACACACACACACACAGCCTTTAGCACACACACACACATAGCCTTTAGTACACACACACATAGCACTTAGCACACACACACATAGCCTTAGTACACACACACATAGCCTTAGCACACACACACACACACACACATATTAGCCTTAGCACACACACACACACATAGCCTTAGCACACACACACACACATACTTACACACACACACATAGCCTTAGTACACACACACACATAGCCTTTACACACACACACATAGCACTTAGCACACACACACATAGCCTTAGCACACACACACAGCCTTTAGCACACACACACATAGCCTTAGCACACACACATGTAGTACTAGCACACACACACACACATAGCCTACATAGCACACACACACATAGGACACACACACACATAGCCTTAGCACACACACACATAGCCAGCACACACACACATAGCCTTTAGCACACACACACATCTTAGCACACACACACACACAATACACACACAAGCCTTAGCACACACACACACATAGTACACACACACATAATAGCACACACACACATACACAGCCTTACACACACACATAGCCTAGTATAGCACACACACACATAGCCTAGCACACACACACATAGTAGCACACACACATAGCCTTGGGGCACACACACACACATATAGCACCCAGTACACACACACACATAGCCTTAGCACACTTAGCACACACACACACACATAGCACATTAGCACACACACACATAGCCTTAGTACACACACACATAGCCTTAGCACACACACACACATAGCCTTAGAACACACACACATAGCCAGCACACACACACACATAGCCTTAGCACACACACACATAGCCTTAGCACACACACACATAGCCTTAGCCTTAGCACACACACACATAGCCTTAGCACACACACACATAGCCTTAGCACACACACACATAGCCAGCACACACACATAGCCTTTAGCACACACACACACATAGCACACACACACTTAGTATACACACACACACACACCTTAGCACACACACACATAGCCTAGCACACACACACACATAGCCTTAGCACACACACACATAGCCTTTAGCACACACACACATAGCCTTAGTAGTACACACACACATAGCCTTAGTACACACACACATAGCCTTAGCACACACACACATAGCCTTAGTACACACACACATAGCCTTAGTACACACACACATAGCCTTAGCACACACACACATAGCCTTAGCACACACACATAACCTTAGTACACACACACATATACTCTTAGCACACACACACTTATGCAGTTATAGTGACATGTCAACTTTGAGTGTCTCTCGTTAAGTCTGTATCTTTAATGATTACCAGTTTTATATATAATTATCTGTGGGTTAACTATTGTAAATGGTTAAATACCCTAAACTAACTCAATCTGACCTAACCTAACTCGAGCTAACCCCAATTTAACCTAACCTGACTCAAGCTAACCCAAATTTAACCTAACTCAAGCCAACCCAAATTAAACCTAACTCAAGCTAACCCCAATTTAACCTAACCTGACTCAAGCTAACCCAAATTTAACCTAACTCAAGCCAACCCAAATTAAACCTAACTCAAGCTAACCCAAATTTAACCTAACCTGACTCAATCTAACCCCAATTTAGCCTGTTCTAACCTAATCCTCTGCCCCATTATGAGTTACTATTCCATTCTTCATTACACTAACAATTGCCACTGTTTATGTTGTGATAAGTAAAGGTGTAATGTGGACAATTAAACATAAAAGAAAATAATTTATTTATTCCTTTATTATAGTGAACATTAAAGAGAGTACAAGAGGATAATGATTTTAGAGTTATTTAACCATTAAAAACCCACACAGCAATAATAGGTGATAAGATTATTAAGAACATAAGAAGAGGAAACTGCAGCGGGCCTATTGGCCCATACTGGGCAGTCCCGTTTACACCCAACCCCTATTGCTCATATAAGCATCCAACCTATGTTTGAAGCTATTCAGCGTATTCGAATTAATGATGACATTTGGTAACTCGTTCCATTCATCCACTACTCTGTTTCCAAACCAGTGTTTACCTATTTCACGCCTAAATTTAAATTTATCTAATTTAAAACCATTGTTATGAGTTCGCTCCTGGTTGGATAGTTTGAGTACCTTTGTAATGTCCCCTTTGTTTAGCCCTGCCTTCCACTTATACACCTCTATCAGGTCGCCCCTCGATCTACGTCTCTCGAGGGAGTGCAAATTAAGATGCTTTAACCTGTCTCTATATTCAAGGTTCCTAATGCCCGGGATTAGTCTTGTCATTCTCCTCTGAATTCTTTCCAAGGATTCTATATCCATTCTGTAATACGGTGACCAGAACTGAACTGCGTAGTCCAGGTGTGGTCTCACAAGAGCAAGATACAGTTTTAGGATGACCTCGCTAGTCTTGTAACTAACACTCCTTTGTATGAACCCAAGTACTTTATTAGCCTTGTTACGAGCAAAAACACATTGTTTACTTGGCTTAAGGTTCCTACTTATCATTACTCCTAAATCTCTCTCGCAGTCGGATTTCCTATGGCATCGTTGTTCATCTGGTACCTGGTTTCCCTGTTTACATCGCCTATACTGAGTACTTTACATTTGTCGACGTTGAATTTCATCTGCCATTTTTCAGACCATTCGAAAAATTTGTTTAGATCTTCCTGTAGTTTTGCGGAGTCCTCGTCAGATTTAATAACACGTCCTATTTTAGTGTCATCAGCAAATTTACTTATGTTGCTGTCTATGCCGATATCTATGTCGTTTATGTATATAATAAATAATAATGGTCCAAGTACTGAGCCTTGGGGAACTCCACTTGTGACGTTGCTCCAATGGGACTTAGTGCCGTTAATGCTCACTCGCTGTTTCCTGTCCTGTAACCACGCCCTAATTCATTTAAGGATGTCACCTTTGATGCCATGTGCTTCTACCTTTCTAATTAGTCTTTCGAAGGGGAATCTGTCGAAGGCTTTGCTAAAGTCAAGATATACCACATCATAATTGTGCCCCTCGTCCACCGATTCGAAAACTGATGAAAAGAATGTTAATAGATTAGTTAGGCAAGAACGTCCGCTTGTGAAGCCATGCTGGGAATCATTGATCAATCGGTGCTTCTCCAGGTGATTTCGAATAGAGTTTGAGATGATTGCTTCCAGTAATTTGCCTACTATTGATGTTAGACTGATTGGGCGGTAGTTAGAGGATAGTGATCTATCCCCCTTCTTGAAAATCGGTATTACCTCACAATGGTCAAAGTTACCCATTAAATTTATCAACAAAACTGAAGAATATAATATAAAGGCACACATGAATAATACAATGATTTATACCATTACAGTACAATACATAAAATTACATAAATTACCATCAATTACAAAATACTACAGTATCCAATTACAAACTATAGCATGTCCTTAAGTGCTCACACAATCAATTATAAGTATAGTACCTGTATATCCTCGTGTTTAAACCATTTTCACTTATTTACACACACACTCTTTCAAGGTATTGTGGTTATACTGTGCAAGTTTTGCTGCCATTCAATATCTGGGCCAAATTTCTGTACAAAGCTCAAGAATATTTTCATTACTTGATGTCTGAAGCTAAACAGTATTTCAATATTTAATAATTCACACCTCTTTTATAGCATGGACTCGTTACCACAAACTGTTTCTCATATAACTTCTTTACATTTCTAGAAATATATAATTCAACCACTTTTGCCAAACAAAACAAAAGCATCAAATACAGTAATTAAATAGTCCTATCCTTAACTAGTCCAGTTTTAGACGAGAGTTAGAATGTACTCTGGATAGTACTCCTGTTTGTCGTACTTCACAATGATTGATGGGACCGTTACATTATTGACTGTGGAGTCAAAGGGAAGATTTGTTTTTGGGTTGGTGGGTGGTCGCACCATTCCAGAATCACCCCGGGTGAATGACCCAACAGCAGTGCGGGCCACAAACATGTACTTCATTCCTAAAGGGTCCGCCCCACAGTAATTGTAGGAATAAGCTGGATTAGTAGAGAAATAGGTGCCTCGCCCAAATGACTGTCCTGAGCTCGATCCATGGAGTCGCCAGTCAAAATTCTCAGAACAGATGCTGGACACTACTTTATGGTTGGTGCCGTGGAACAGCTGACGAACATCAACAGTGGCTGCATCACCATAAATGGCTGTCAATTCTTTGATCTTGTTCTGCAGCGCTCGCCAGAGAAATGGATTCTGAACTCTTTGCACCTTCATCACATTGGAGGATGACACTCGATTTCCCAGAAGGCCCACCACTGTCTGGTACTCAGTAGATGACGCAGCCAAGGTGATTAGGCGCATGCGTTCCTCTGGCTGCATTACCTCCCAGGTTGAAGGCAGGTCCGTTGATGTTTTCTGGTCCTTCACATCTGTCTTCTCATCCTGGAGGTGGGGCTCAGGCCTGCGACGCACCTCTCTGTTAACACGAGTATTCCGGTTGGTTTGCATCATGGTTTTGAAATTAAGGATGTAGGTGAATTTAGAATTCTTGAAAGAGATAGAACCTAATGAATTTTTCTTGTAATGCATATCAATGTCACTTGTTGTTGCACTACTGACTAAATGGCTTGCTCCTGCTGTATCTACATTACCATACTGAACCCATTTATTGTTTTTGTCTAAGAAATACCAGATGAAAGTGGCAGGTTTTATCACCTGGCCAGGGACGGTCTCTGTACACAGCCGACGGGTGGGAAGGGTCTTGGTCTTGGTCGAGTCGGTCAAGTTCATGGTTTTAAGGTCAGCGTGCCAAGTAACACGGCCCAAGAGGATAAGAAGACCTCTGAATGTATGGTCGAGTGTGGCCGGATCAAGCCGAGGAAGATCAACGCCATCTTGTGAAGGGTCACAGAAGGCTCGCTCAAGACAAGTCACCTGACTAGGGCGTAAGTTTATCCAGCGACCTGCTTCGCACACCTGCCAGTGGAAGTGTTGTGTTGCGTGGAGTCGCTGGCAGCCACTACCCTCATTACTGCACATGTCCTCAACTGAGTGGTAACAAATTTCAGGTATTTCAACATTTCCCAGGAAGTAATGCGACCACAGTGTACGGCGGATTTCCTGTTGCAGGGGAACAGTTCTCTTCACGTGATCAGGTGCATTATTCTGACTAGACGAATCAGATGCTTTCCTCTCCTTCCTTAATGCTGTCTCAGATGTTGTTGATTTGTTCTTAATGTGCTTTCTAGATTTACTTTCTCCACTGTTTGATGACAAGTCACTCTCACTGCCTCTCTCTTCAGATTCACCTTCACTCTCAGTGCTGGATGATGAAGAACATTCACTGGAATCATTATGTTGTGTTTTCTCTTGCTTTCTCCTTTTGCCAGAATCGGTTGTCACCTTTTTCATACTTTGAGTTTCATCTGCAAGATTATTAGTCTTTTCAGGAGTATCTTTCATGTCTTTCTTGGGTGTTTGTTGCTGATCAGACTGAGGTGAAGACTTGTCACTTTGTTGATCAGACTGAGGTGAAGACTTGTCACTTTGTTGATCAGACTGAGGTGAAGATTTGTCATGTTGTGTGCCAGTTGACTGTTGGTCCTTGGTAAGGTCAGGATTAGCAGCCAACAATGCCAAGACAATGTCCCGCGGGGCCTCGTTGGCTGGTAGACCATAAGTCTTCAGTAGTTGGCAACAGTCAGGACTCAGCAGGTTGTGGTTCAGTTTACACCCATCACGAGGACATTTTGTGAGCCCAATCACGAATCCGCGACACACGTGGAGCGCCCCACAGTCGGATTGGTCACATCCGCCGTCGTTGTATTTACGACAAACATCCAACTTGCCCGCTTCCTTGCGTTCAGTTATGGATTGAATTAGACATCGGAGTCTTGGATAGGGAATGCGATCCAGAGAGAATGGCTTTAAAACACACATATTGTGGTCTGTCATCCACCTGTGACCCAAGACGCAATTCTTATCATGACACCAATTAAGAACATAGTTTGCACAGATGTGTAAGTTTGTACAGGATGACTGCTTCTTGCAACCTTGCTGTCCTGAATGAGCTGTACAGATCTGGATTTGAGGTTTTAACTGCACAACCTCATTCTTTAAACTAAATATTTGTGAGTATTTTAGAGCTACTTCTCGTACACTAGATGGCTGTAGGCTCTTTCCTTCCATGAGCTGTAGGAGACTGGAGGAAAAAGTAGGGAACTCGATCAAAGTTTGCACCAGGAGTACAGAAGTTACTTGGCCATCTCTTCTGTTTGGAGCATGGTAAGGTGGGTCTCCATCACCTCCATGTTGGTACCGTGGCCGGTCATTGTATCCACCGGGTTGGTACCCTGGCTGGTCACTGTATCCACCGTGTTGGTACCCTGGCCGGTCACTGTATCCACCGTGTTGGTACCCTGGCCGGTCACTGTATCCACCATGTTGGTGCCCTGGCCAGACACCATATCCACCATGTTGGTGCCCTGGCCAGACACCGTATCCACCTTGTTGGTACCCTGGCTGGTCACCGGATCCCTCATGTTGGTACCCTGGCCGGCCACCGTATCCACCATGTTGGAACCCTGGCTGGTCTTGATATCCACTTTGTCGTCGCCACGGCACATCATCATATTCACCTTGGTGCCTCAAGGGGGGATCTTCATAACTTATAAACATTCCTCCTGAAGGCTGCCCGCGGCCTCTACCCTGCCCCCGCCTCATCTGGCCACCTCCTCTGTACTTTTCCGTTTTGCACTAAAAATAAAAGTTTGTCTGATATGTATGGGTTACGAAGTAATTTATTATTTTTTTTATTATTATTATTATTTAAAGGGGGAGTGGTGGCTGTGGAGTTGGGGAGAGAGTGAAGGAAGGGGGGAAGAGGGGTAAATGAAGAAGTGGGGTGAGGGAAAGAGACATGGGAGATGGTGTAAAGGAGGGAGAAGAAGTGGCAGAGAATAGAAAAAATAACAATATATATAACAATGTACAGTATATTAAGAAAAGCTCTATATAGTGTTTGGTATTAGTCATAAAAGAACAGAACACATCAAATGTATTCATAAACACCTGTAATTTACAACAACAACAAAATGAAACAGTAGACTGATGGTGGCACTGATAGGGTATTTAGGCAATCCTTTACTGTTTAGGTTAACAGATCATTGTAGGAATTATACACCTATATTGTTGGTACAATAGTGGTGTAATGGGTATATATACAGTACTGCAACTCTCTCTGGCCCTGTAATTATAAACATCAAGGGACTTTGTAAACATCATGTAGACAGTCAGAATGGGTCCCACACACAGTACAGCACATGACTCCCACACAGCACAAGACTTACTTTTGTGTTGGTGCCTCCACGTCCCCGACCACTGCCCCGAGGCTGACCCCATCCTTGCGATGCGGTCTTTACTGTTAATAAAAAATTACTTAACACTTTTGCTCAGTACAGGTATAACTTTATTTTTATTTTTTTAATATTAATTCAAATTTATAATTTTTACCAATTATCAGCTAAGTACCGTAGCCATTGAGGCAGTAAGTGTCGCTGGATAACACCTTTGTAAGCCTGAGCACTACAGCTGATGTGTTGTGAAGAAAAAGTTACTTATGAGAGGAAATTCCCTGACCAGTACAACCATAAGTGTAGGGAGAGCCACAGCTGCCAGTAACAGAACCCTGTACTGTACTGCACAGTGCAGTACAGCATTGTACATGCTTTCTGCCTGACTATAATTCTTATTCTTTCATTACAACATAAACCAATAGCTGTTGGAAAGAATGTTTACAGCTTTATAACTTAACAGAACTTGAATTGCTCGGCACCTTTGTGCTAATAAATGTTACTGTACAGTAGTCCACTCAAAAAAGATCATGATCATCAATGAAAAAAAATATTAGAACTGATCTCTTAAAATGCCCCATAATGCAGGAAAATTATATATTTAACTTTTTTGTGTGGGAAGGGGGGAGACATGACCTTGGTGCCCCCAGATTATGGCTGCATCTAAGACACAGTCATTGGTCTCCCACAGTGACCTCATGGCTCCTTGTCTGTGAGTCTATAATTCAAAATTTACAACATCAGAGCTATATATATATATATATAATAATCCTTTTCCATCATCAGAGCCTAAAAAGTTTTGAAAAAGTTTAAAAATACAACAATTAAAGAAGCCCTACTTCAAGATGTTTGTGTTTACCCTGGTTCTCCTCTTCATTATAAAACTACGCTTTCCACGTAACAAGTCCATTGCTGAAGTTATATATATATATATATATATATATATATATATATATATATATATATATATATATATATATATATATATATATATATATATATATATATATATATATATATATATATATATATATATATTAATACAAATACAAATTAATAATAATTAATAAAAATATAAAAAATATTAAGAGTGAGAAATGATATACTGTACAGTATGTATGTTGTATTGTCAATAGTAAGGGAAACAATTGAGACCCTGCAATTGTGTGTAAATGAAGCAGAAAGTCAGATCATCAACCTGGGACTTGGTCACATATGGCAGCAGGGTCTACCATTAGACCACATAATGCTTCCAATATCTTTCCAGGCGGTAATACCTCCCTGTTTGATAGCTGACTACGACCTACATTATGTACTGTACATACTGTACATTATGCTACAAACGACTGGTAAACTACTGTGAATATCAACCATCTCTGGGCAATTGATATGTTAACAACACATTGTTCACTGAACTTCACTCCACAGACCAAATGAAATGGTTGAATTTACATCCAAACATCAAGACACACTTATAACTAAATAGCATGAATCACATCTTATCCATAAGTGAGATTACAACTGATAACACTTGTACAGTACAGGAGTTGAACTCATATGTACATAAATATCTAAACCAATGGAATTCAAGTGATATTATCCAGCCTCCCCCCTGCCATTAGACTACTGATGGCTAAATAATCTAACCAAATAAACTTAATCAATGATGGAAATATTTTTATACATCACATATAGTGTAACCCCCTCCCCCCCTTCACACCGGTCACCCCCTCACACCCCTCACACTTACGGTACAACCCCCTCACACTTACGACACAACCCCCCCTCACACTTGCGGTACCCCCTCACACTTGGTGCAACCCCCTCACACTTACGGTGCAACCCCCTCACACTTGCCCCCCCCTCACACGGTGCAACACACTTGTCACAAACCCCCTCACACTTGCCCCCCCTCACACTTACAACCCCCCTCACACTTACGGTACAACCCCCCTCACACTTGGTGCAACCCCCCTCACCACACAACCCCCTCACACTTACGGGCAACCCCCTCACACTTGTACAACCCCCTCACACTTACGGTACAACCCCCCCTCACACTTACGGTACAACCCCTCCCCCTTTTTATATGGATCCACACAGAAAACAGATTCATCTCATAGTGTAGATTAAGTTATATTAAAACACTGGCATCAGAAGCTGTCAATATAAGTATTTTCTGATCTATTTTTCCCCACAATTAAGAGCTAGGCAAGAAGTCAGTCAACCAATAACAAGATTACATGAAGATTAGGCACCCCAAGTTATTTCACCTGATGGTTAAATACCCTAATGGTAACCTAAACTAACCCTACTAGATCTAAATTAAACTCACCTAACCTAAATTAAACTAACCCTACCTAACCTTAATCTAATAAAACCTAAATTAATCTTCCTAACCCAATCTACCGTAAAGCTAATCTAATGTTTCCTAATGCTAATATGATCTAGCCCCTCCAGGTAGCTTCAGGGTGTTTAATCAGGTGAAATTAACTGTGGGTGGGGTTCACAATACACAGGAGAATGACTCACGCTTGTTTAACACGGTAGTAGCGTTGTGTGCTTCTAGTTTCAGCTGCTCTAAACGACTCGTGTCACCTTCCCCATTGCTGTCACCCATTCTTGGCTTCTGTTGGTGGGACACGATTATTTTAACTTGGGTTAGGTTAGATTACCATATTTGTACATAAAAAATGCCTAGGGGGTAGAGGTATTTCTAACAGTTAGCTATTGTCAAATTATCCTCTGATTTGCTGCCTGGTTGTATAAAATATTTTGAGTTGTTTGTAAACCATCTGGAATTCTATTTGCCAGACACAACTATACGTCTACACACATACCCAACACTCAGCTTCCCATTCTTCTCCACCACTTGGAAAACACTTTTTTTTTCTCAAGTTTTGCACTAAATTTACACTCACTCGTTTTGGCATTGTGTTTAGGGATAACAAAATAAAAATATGAAATAAAGATCTCTGCGCACTGCACTGATAGACACTCAGGTGTTGGGGCTTTGGGAAACATCGTACATGTTCAGGACGAAAACTGACCGATGCCGTGAACTAGACCTTGACGTCCTCGACCAATAATCACCTGATCAACTCCGTTTCTCCCAAGAATCGATGAACATTTTATTCCTAAGAATCGATGACTATTTTATTCCTGATTTTATATAATGGTCCATTCCACATCAAAAACCTTTGGAGAAAAATAATAAGGGTAAAATCCCGGACGTTTTAACACAAATACTGTATTAAATTAAAAAACAAATACAAATAAAATTCTTGACTATACTATGACACATACCCTAAGCTCTTATTAAATAACAGAATCGTGGATTAATCAACAGTTAATATAAAAAACAATAAGTAAAAAACCACGATTAATCAATAGTTAATATAAATAACAAAAAGTAAATCACAAAGTTATGAAAATAAACAAATTCTTAATAATACTCACGTATCCCTGACTAGTTGTGCCACCGCCACCGCCACCCAGATCCATCAAACTCTTACTTCCTCTTCTCATTTCTCTCTTCCAGCGCTACCCTTTCTCTAATATCACACACACTCTTCGCTCGAATCTTCTTCAGGCGTTACTCTACAAAATATCCAGAGTGCACTATGTGGCAGAGTTTACGAGGTGATCAAAATGACGATGAATGAAGACAACAACCTCACGCCTCCTTGACTACTTCTACACAGAGGAATGGACACGAACTACACAGGACGACGGGGGTTGATTAGAGACGCACACGTTTTCTTTGATGCATTTTACCAGACACTACTCAAGATGGCGTCTGGCGGATGGACGGCTTGCTAATTGGGTAGATGGATGGATATATAGTTGAATAAAGTGATGGATATGTGGAATGGATATTTATTAATTAAAATTATTTATTATTGTCGCACAAACTCAATCTGATTTAGCATGTGTATAGACAATACAGATATACAAACAATGTATTCAAGCAATGCAAGTATACAAATAATGTGTATAAACATTAGTTACAGTACAGGAATACAATAGATATAATGCTAAAGAGTAATTCGGGTGGGGGGATGGGGTACCTTGTGGGGTGGGGGGATGGGGTACCTTGTGGGGTGGGGGTACCTTGTGGGGTGGAGGGATGGGGTACCTTGTGGGGTGGGGGTATGAGGGCTGCTACTGCCACCCTTCATGAGGGCCTGTGTGCCAGTAACAATTCCTTTTACTCTTATATATCACCATTGGTAGCGTGACGATAGGAGGCTCGTGGGTAGGTGTAATGATAGTATCAAGCAATAGGGAAGAAATAACGGTAAATACTGTAGGTAAATAATATACACAATTATACAAATACAAAGTTTATTTAAACATGAATATGAAATTAGAAGAAAGAATTGGTTTGTACTAACAGACGAAATCTATTACTAGGCCCTCAGGCTCAACATACTCACACCATTACTGGGTGGACATATTCAATACCCTTCCAACCCTACGGGGTGGACATACTCAATAACACAACTATGATAGTCACTTAGCACCATAAATACTAGGCAACTGCCACTACAACACTCAGTCGTCAGGAGTGATACTCAAGCAACAGCCATGGGGTCCAGCCACCATGGAGTACTATCCGACGAACTCTGGAGATCCCAGTGGGTTAATTCCACCACACAAATAGCCCTACTGAGGTAGACATTCATCCACCAATGATGGGGGGCTGGTAGTGGTGTGTGGCTTGGTGGTCCAGGGTCACCTCGTGGACCGAGCGTTAGGCCCAGACGAGCCAGCTATGGGGGCTATAGGTGGTCTGAAGTGTCTGAGGGCCGGGTCTCACGAAGGTAACTGATCCTACTGGACCTCGGACATGTCCCCAGACATAGTGGATACAACATCCACCCTACAGACACGGCCTAGGCTGCGTTAGGGACCTGTATGGATGAAGGGACGGGCACTTACTAACTGGTGACAACAACAACACGTTTCAGGGGACGTTAAAGACGTAAATATGACTTTACTCAGAGCATATCAACTACGTTACTGTAACACTTGCACAATCAACTATTAATTGGGTCAAATTACTTAAAGAAGGGCAAATTACAACACAGCGTGGAATGGCATACCTGTATGGATGAAGGGACGGGCACTCACTAACGGTTAAAATGCCCGCGGCGCCCTCACTCAAACTAGGCCAGGGAGTCCACCTACTCCTATTCCAATGAATTAATTTACGGTACCCTCTGACGTTGAAATTGAGACTATGAACTCCTTTTCATTCTCTACTATTATCTTCACTAACAATGCTCTGACTCAGCTATCGAAAGCAGAATTAAATTGATTACAAAGGAATGGATGGCAACAGGTCCCAGCATACAGCGTCTGCTCCCATAGACAAAGGCGGGGGAAACAGAGAAAACGGGGGACGTTTCCACTGGGGGACTCGGAAGGTTTTGTGGACGTTTGAGCGTAATATGAATCCTTAAGGTTTTCAGGTTAGCTCTTATCATGACCATTACAGGGGGATGGGGTACCTTGTGGGGTGGGGGTACCTTGTGGTGGAGGGATGGGTACCTTGTGTGGGGGATGGGGGTACCTTGTGGGGTGGGGGTACCTTGTGGGGTGGAGGGATGGGGTACCTTGTGGTGGTGGGACTTGTGGGAGTGGGGGACAAGGGGTGGTGGGGGTTACATTGTGCCTTGTGGAGTTGGGGTATGGGGTGCCTTGTGGGGTGGGGGATACTTGGGGTGGGGTATTTACCTTACTGTACATTAAAGTTTTTATTTAATTATCCAATTACATTATTAAAGGTAAATACCAAACTATTCAATTATCGTATATTAAAGTTTTTATTAAAGTACCCAATTACATTATTAAAGGTAAATACCAAACTACCCAATTATGCTAAGTTGATATTAAACTACCCAATTACATTTTAGTCAGTTATCATAAGGTTCAATTAAACATTTTGAGACCAAGATATTACACCTTGGTTGACTAGCAGAAAGACAATGGGTAATATATCCTAGGCAAGAGGTGACTAATTTGGCATGTAAACTGTATAGTGAATTAATGTATACAGCTTAGCATGTGCCTATACAGCTCCCTCAGTCTGTATATACACACTGCAGGTATACAGTTCAGCATGTATATACACACTGCAGGTATACAGTTCAGCATGTATATACACACTGCAGGTATACAGTTCAGCATGTATATACACACTGCAGGTATACAGTTCAGCATGTATATACACACTGCAGGTATACAGTTCAGCATGTATATACACACTGCAGGTATACAGTTCAGCATGTATATACACACTGCAGGTATACAGTTCAGCATGTATATACACACTGCAGGTATACAGTTCAGCATGTATATACACACTGCAGGTATACAGTTCAGCATGTATATACACAATGCAGGTATACAGTTCAGTATGTATATACACACTGCAGGTATACAGTTCAGTATGTATATAGACAATGCAGGTATAAAGTATACATAGACCAGGAAGATATACATAGAAGTCTTCATCTATCATTAAAAATAAAATATAGATCATTATACACAAAGTACTACATGATAATGATGTATTAATATTTTCTTAATTTGTTATGATCAAAACATTTCAATAAATCATTATTATTCTCAAAGCCAAGTGTTTATTGTTTGTTTACTGATCTTTCACAGTCTAACAGTTAAGTCATCATATATCGGTAATTTTTTTTCTTCACAGTGACGACATCAAAAATGAGTTGACAGTACTTGTAGAAAATACTTGTGCATGTATACTATACTGGCCTGTATATGTATCCTTCAATTATACAACAGTTACAAATGAAAGTAAATTAAAAAACTTTTCCATTATATATATTACTTAGGAAAAAAGACATAATACTGTACTTGCATGATTAAATAGTAAACATAACAAAGCTTGTTTCATAGGTGAAGTATAAGTGCACAAACCCCTTTTGCAAAGTGTCTATCAGGGAACTTTTGAGGTTTAATTTAATTTAATAATACAGTACACTATTGCCACTTTGTCCCTAAGAATCAGATGAGCAATATGATGTACTGGGGGTAGTACTCTTGCTTATCGTACTTGACAATGATGGAAGGCTTGGACACTTTATCAACGGTAGAGTCAAACAGTAGTCCCGTGGCAGGATTCTTGGGAGGACGGACCATGGTGGAGTTGCCGAGAGTGACGTAACCGACGGCTGTTAGTGCCACCATCAGGGACTTCATCCCCGAACTGTTAGCGGTACAGTACTGATATGAATACACCGGATTGGTTGAGAAGTAAGTCCCTTGGCCAAACTTATTCCCTATTCTGGACCCATGTAGTCGCCAATCAAAGTTCTCAGTCCAAATGGAGGGTACAACTTCGTGCTGTGTGCCATGGAACAATTGACAAACACCCACTTTAGAGGCATTGCCATAAAGTGCCGTCATTTCTCCGACTTTGTTATCAAAAGCTCTCCATAAGAAAGGATTCTGAATTCTTTGTACTCCTACAATTTTGGAGGTTGGTATTTGACTTTTCAAAAGACCCACCACCTGCTCGTACTCTGAAGAGGAGCCCTTCAGGGCCAACACCCGCACACATTCCCCAGGATTCATCTTTTCCCAGTGTAATGGAAGATTTAGGGGGTTGTTTTGGTCTACTTTTACCTCATCTTGGAGATGGACCATTGGGCGACGCACCACTAGACGAGAAGTCTTGGTCCGTTGATTTGTTTGCTGCATTGTATTGAAGTCTAAAATATAACTGAATCTTAAGTTCTTGAAAATCAGAGGTTGTGATGGATTCTGGAGGAAATGTTTCTCGATATCTTCTGAGGTTATGTTACTAACTAGATCCTTTGATCCTAAAGTGTCTGAATGGCCATATGAAATCCAATTCTTGGATAAATCGAAGAAATACCAGATGAAAGTGGCAGGTTTTATCACCTGGCCAGGGACGGTCTCTGTACACAGCCGACGGGTGGGAAGGGCCTTGGTCTTGGATGAGTCAGTCAACATCATGGTCTTAAAGTCAGCGTGCCAAGTACCATGGCCCAAGAGGATAAGAAGACCTCTGAAAGAGTGGTCGAGTGTGGCCGGTTCAAGCCGAGGAAGATCAACGCCATCTTGTGAAGGGTCACAGAAGGCTCTCTCAAGACAAATCACCTGACTAGGGCGTAAGTTTATCCAGCGATCTGCTTCGCACACCTGCCAGTGGAAGTGTTGTGTTGCGTGGAGTCGCTGGCAGCCACTACCCTCATTCTTGCACATGTCCTCAACTGAGTGGTAACAAATTTCAGGTATTTCAACATTTCCAAGCAGGTAGTACGACCACAGTGTGAGACGCCCGTTGTTGACATGTACTGTATATCCAACATCAGCTAAGTTGCTGTTCCCTGACAATGTGTTAGAAGACTCACTACTGCCAGTACCATCTTCAGTAATTACCCCTAATGTATCTTTCTCTTCACCAACACTATCAAAGGTTGTTTTCTCAACTTTCCTTAACAGTGACTTCATTGTTATTTCATTGGACTTTAAAGTTTTATTTACTCTTTTCTTTTTTATCTGTTGTGGAGAAGTGTTTTGCTCCTGGAGGAGTGTGGGGTTAGCAAAGAGCAGTGCCAACACAATGTCCCGCGGGGTCTCATTCACAGGAAGACCATGAATCCTCAGCAAACGACAGCAGTCAGGAGTCAGGAAGTTGTGGTTTAGTTGACAGTCATGGCGAGAGCATTTACCGAGTCCAGTTAAGAAGGTGAAACACACATGGAGCTCTGCACAGTCAGTTTGGTCACAGCCTCCACCATTATACTTAAAACACACCTGCAACGGACCTGTGACTTTTATAGTCTCTCTGCGTTGTTGTATGAGCTTAAAAATTATTCGGGAGGGAAGCCAGTCAATACAGAGTTGATGGAGGATAGATCTATTGTGATCCAGCAGCCATGTATGACCATAGGAGCAATTCTCATCTTGACAGGATCTGGTAACAAAATTAGGACAAATATGTAAGTCAGAGCAAGACAAAAGTTTCTGACAACCCTGAGCTCCTGAATGATCTTTACAGATGCTGACTTGGGGACTAAGTTGCACGGTGTTGCCAAGTAAATAAAATACCTTCGTTTGACTTGATACCACTTCTTGTACATCTGAAGGAATCATATTTTTCTCCATCATAAGCTCATCTAGACTGGCGGAGAATTTTGGATAACCGACCAAGCTATCCACAAGGAGTCGAGGAGTAACGTGGACAGGGGAGAGCGGCTCGAGCGGCTCATACTGCTTATTAGAATTCCTCTCAAAAAGTTGTTTCCAGTTATATCTCAGAGGTTCATCAGAACGTTGCCGCCAGTTGTCCGGCTGCAGTTTGTTCCTCGTCTCCTCTTCCTGGACCTGAATATTTTGTAAAACTTTCACCCATTCATCAAGACCGTCTTCACTTCCCATTTCGTTTTTCTGGTCATCTTCTCCACTCTGGAAAGATTTACAGATTTAATTAATTATTCTAATTATTCAAACTTATGGATTATTGATAAGTATGGTAACAGGTAAACCTTCAATCACTACATCGACATATTTTGAGAACTTTAGAGCTCTCATATAGTCTTTTAATATGAGTTTGTTGCCCAGTGTAGTGGTGTAGTGTTGCAAAATACTGTACAGCCATAAAATGTTTACCATCATGAAAAAAAAATGGACCAAAATGTTGAAAAGTGATATACATTATTATGATATATAGGGTATCCCAGTCCCTGCCTCCCTCCCTCCAACTGACAGTGTCTCAGGGAGCAGGCAGGGAGGAAGGCAGGGAGGGACACTCTTCTGGGACATCCTATAAAACACTATGACGAATCTTTGTGTGGGGACTTATCTGGCATGAGTAATAAGTTTACATTTGGTTCAATATGTATATAGACAAAGCATGTATACACAGTTCAGTATGTATAGAGAATCAAGGTTGTTTCCTGATGGCCAAGACGTGAATGATACTCAAGAAACCTAACCTAACCTTACCTTACCTTAGGAGGACGAGTCATTGTGTTGTCTTCATGTGTTGTGTGGCTGGTGTTGTCACTCTCCTCCTCCACAGTCTGAGACTCTGCTGGGATGAAACACAGTCAGCCTCTCAGAATAAAACAAAACAGTGACGTTGATGTTAAATTAAAAATTTTATTACTGCACGTTAACAACAAAGTCAGTAATAAACTACACGAGTCCGTCAGTTCTTGTATAAGACTCAACAGGTTTAAGGTAACACTGAGTTAACTTATTGTGGTTTTACCCTAACTTAAATAGCTTGGTGCTCAGTCAAAGCAGACAGTTCATGATATATTCAGTTATAATACTGTACCGAGTTAGTGAAAGTTACGATGAGTTTTGTAAAGGAATGACTTACGGGTTGTGTCGTCGCATTGTTGACCCTGGGAGAGGTTGGGGTTGGCAGCATGTAGTGCCAAGATAGTGTCCAGTGGGGCCTCATTAATAGAAAATCCATAAGACTTCAGTAGTTGGCAACAGTCAGGACTCAGCAGGTTGTGGTTCAGTTTACACCCATCACGAGGACATTTTGAGAGTCTGACCATGAAGTCGAGGCAAACGTGGAGCGCCCCACAATCGGATTGGTCACAGCCGCCGTCGTTGTATTTACGACAAACATCCAACTTGCCCGTAATTTTAGGGGTGTTCTTGAGAAACCTGAAGAGTTTGCGGAGTTTCATGAACGAGAGTTGCTCAAGAGAGAGACGCGTCAGAATGCCGACATTGTGGTCTGTCTTCCAAGTGTGACCCAGTGGACAGGTTTTGTCATTGCACCAGTCCATCACACATTTAGAACAAATATGTATGTCACCACAAGATGATTTCTGACATCCTTGGGAGGTAGAATGAGCAGAACATATTCCAACTTGAGGCTTCAGCTCCACCAGTGTTCCATTCACACAAAACAGTTGCTTATGGTTAGAAATAACATCTTTTAAACTCGAAGCCTCGAGACATTTCTCCACCACGAGCTCTTGCAAGCTGGCAGAGAATGACTCAAATTCAATCAGTGTATTGACAAGAAGGCAAGGTGTGGCCTGGACAGTGTGTCTGGGTTGATAATCTCCAGATCGCCTCCAGTTTTCAGGGCCACCAGTTTGTTGTTGCATCCAGGATTTCCAGGGAGTTGAGTAGGCTCTTGGTGATGGTTGGGCCTTCCACTCTTCATTCCTCCAGCTCATGTTTCTCTCCTGAAATTTAATTTCCATAAGTTAAGCCCCAGCAATATATAATGAGTCTCTATTAATAAATAAATAAATCATTAAACAAATAAATAATCTGTAAGCATTATAATTCCGTTCAGTTCTATTTTATTCAGTAAAATCATCATATAAGTTTACAATGATTCAGTGGGAGTACAGACAATAAAGGTATACAATGTACCTAGTCAGTACAAATATACAATGTACTGACCATAAAACAGTACTAACCATGCAACAGTACTGACCATATAACAATACTGACCATACAACAGTACTGACCACACAACAGTACTGACCATATAACAGTACTGACCATACAACAGTACTGACCGTATAACAGTACTGACCATATAACAGTACTGACCACACAACATTACTGACCATATAACAGTACTGACCATACAACAGTACTGACCATACAACAGATACTGACCACACAACAGTACTGACCACACAACAGTACTGACCATACAACGGTACTGACCACACAACGGTACTGACCACGCAACAGTACTGACCCTACAACAGTACTGACCACACAACAGTACTGACCCCATACAACAGTACTGACCATCACAATGGCACTGACTACACAGCAGTACTGACCCTACAACCAGTACTGACCATACAACAGTACTGACCGTATAACCGTGCCGACCATATAACAGTACTGACCACACAACGTACTGACCATATAACGGTACTGACCATACAGCAATCTGACCACCGCCTGCTGGTACTGACCACACAACAATTACTGACCATGCAACCAGTATGACCATGCAGTACTGACCACATAACCATACAACAATGCGAGCCATACGCAATACTGACCATACAACAGTACGACCACATGATGACCGCCCACAACGGTACTGACCATACAACAGTACCCCATTTTACAGCAGTACTGACCATGCAACAGTATGACATGCAACAGTACTGACCCACATAACAGTACTGACCACATAACCAGTACTGACCATACAACAATGCCTGACCACACAACAGGCGACGCCTAGCAGTACTGACCACACAACGGTACCGACCACCTGCTGGTACTGACCATACAACAGTACTGACCACCTGTGTTGCGCCACGCCACAACGGTATGACCACACAATGGTACTGACCATACAACAATGCTGACCATACAACGGTGCCCAGCCATACAATAGTACTGACCACACAATGGTACTTGACCACCAACAGTACTGACCATACAACAGTACTGACCATACAACAGTACTGACCATCACAATGGTACTGACCACACCAATGGTACTGACCATACAACCAGTACTGACCATACAACAGTATGACCATACAACAGTACTGACCATCACAATGGTACACTGACCACACACAACAGTACTGACCATACCAACAGTACTGACCATACAACAGTACTGACCACACAATGGTGTGATCATACAACAGTACTGACCGCAATGGTACTGACCATACAACGAGTGCTGACCATACAACAGTACTGACCACACAATGGTACTGACCATACAACAGTACTGACCACACAATGGTGCCGACCATACAACAGTACTGACGACCGTACAACGGTACTGACCACTAATGGTGCTGACCGCCTGGCAGTACCGACCACACAATGGTACTGACCGCTTCTGGCAGTACGACCATACTGGCTGGTACTGACCATACAACAGTACTGACATACAACGTGCCTGACCATACCTGTAGTACCCCGACACACAATGGTATGACCACAATGGTACTGACCACACAACAGTACTGACCATACAACAGTACTGACCACACAATGGTATGACCACACAACAGTACTGACCATACAACAGTACTGACCACACAATGGTACGCTGACCATACAGCAGTACTGACCATACAATAGTGACCACACCAATGGTACTGACCACACAACAGTACTGACCAGCACAACAGTACTGACCACGCATTGGTACTGACTATACAACAGTACTGGCCATACAACTTGTTACTGACCATACAACAGTATGACACACAATGTACTGACCACACAATGAATTTTGCTGACCACACAACGGTACTGACCATATATGGTACTGACCATACTGTAATTACTGACCACACAATAGTATGACACACAATGAAATTGCTGACCCACACAACAGTACTGACCACACAATAATACTGACCACACAATGGTACTGGCCACACAGAAAATAGTACCTGACACACAATGGTACTGACCATACAACAGTACTGACCACACAATTTGGCACACACAATAGTACTGACCACAATGGTACTGACCATACAACAGTACTGACCACACAATAGTACTGACCACACAATGGTACTGGCCACACAATAGTACTGACCACACAATGGTACTGACCATACAACAGTACTGACCACACAATAGTACTGACCACACAATGGTACTGGCCACACAATAGTACTGACCACACAATGGTACTGGCCACACAATAGAACTGACCACACAATGGTACTGACCATAATACTGTATTGCATTTTAACTTTCTGAAACTAAAATTGATGTCCCTCTTTGAATAGATGATAATAATAATAATAATAATAATAATATAAATAAAATAAATAATAATAATTTCAACAATAATTATAGAAATAATTATAATAATAATAATAATTACAACAATAACAATGTAAATAATAATAATGATGATAATTACAATAATAATATAAATAATAATAATATGTGAGTTTAGTTCTTGCCAAAACGAGTTAAATTACACTAACCCAATCACCTTACAAATAGGTAAAAGTTCTGATAAGATCTAATGTCATTCAGTTGATTGTGAATGACTGTAATGAGTTCCTCATACATAATATCCAAACTTCATGAGATTTCATTCAAATGAGTGAAGTTGCTGTAATTTCATATTTATCTGTTTTTTATATGTACTTGATATAATACGATCATGATACCTTTAAACAACCACAGTCCTGAATTCCATGGTTACAAAACAAATCGTACTGTACTTACCTCGATCAATTACTAACAAAATCACCTACAAAATGACACTTTTCACAATATATCAACTGTATTCTCCAGTAACTGCGCAGAACGTCACTTTACTCCAATAATCGGAAGAAGATATAACAAATTTCAACTGTAAATCGTCTCCTTGTTATGAATACGTCTCCACCTGCACCTCTCAGCTCACACAGGACCAAGTCATGTTCATTATCTCCAGTTTCTCTGTTACAAATATTTGGACCATTTTCTATAACTCTCAATTCGCTTGTACCACCAACTCATTTATTTTAAAGATCCTGTTATTTCTCAACCTCGTGCATATTGAGGGATTAATATTAATAAAGTATAATTGTTATAGAAGCTTATAATTAGATTGGTATGATTATAGACAAATTTAGAGATATATAATTCAGCAACACTGGAAATTCATCCTGGACCAACGTGTATGATATGAAACCAGATCTGGTAACAGTGTATAGGCTGCCTTGACATAATACAGAATTATACTTTAAATGACCGTTTATTTAGAATTTATGAGCGTTATAATACCTAAGAATACATTTATTGTAGATAAATTAATAGGTGTTAAGTGGCGAATATGATAAAAAATTGGTGCCGGATGATTTATAACCTGGTGTCCAGACGTATGATTAGTTGTACTGTTAATAACGAATATTAGTCATGCTTAAACACGTATTTACTATAAAATAACGATGTACATTTATCAATAGCATAATTTTACCAAATTTCATATATTTATACTCATTAATTTATCCACAATAAATATATTTTTAGTCAATAGTCCGATCAAAATCTTAAATAAACAGGCATTTAAACCCTAAATGTCAACTGTCCCTCATACAGTGTTACCAGATCAACAGCCTTTACCACCCTTGTCCACTCTCACCACCCACCACCACTACCACCACCACTTTCACCACCACAATTAGAAAGGGTAAATAATTACGAAAAACAATGGAAAATCCAAACCAGTCTTCCGAAATTCACAGTGATACCCTTATGCAGAGGGAAGACCCATCCATTAGTAACCAATAATGCCCAGATAGAATACAAAAGCAGAGGCACCCTCCTGGGCCTGTATATATCCACGACAGGTTACTCCCATCATGTCCACACCAGGAAGGATAAAGCAAAAAGAGAGCAGAGAAAACTATACCGCTTTAAAGCGCTTCCTGAGAAAATAAAACTCCGCCTAGTGACATCATTTATCACACCGATATTAACTTACCCAGCAGTACCTCTTCATACTATGAGCACCACTCAAATATTAAAATTACAGGTAGTTCAAAATGAAGCCCTAAGATTCGTCACAGACGACAGATACCCCTTCACCAGAACCACAGCCGAGATACATAGAGACCTGAGAATGAAACCCATCAACCAGCAGCTGCACCTGGCCAGCAGAGTCTGGCAAAAGATAGAACGACCAGAGCAAGAACTCCTTCAAAGACTCCCACCAGATAACGACAACAACCATCCATGGTTCCCAAAAAGTTACCAAATCTCAAAAGGTCCAATACCACCCCTGATCTACACAGCCAGGCAATAGACAACCTCCCTAGACCAACATCCGCCAGTAGGGTCGGCGGAATATGAAATAAGGCCCTTGAAACACCCATGTATGGGACAGGTTAGGATGTCTAGTGCCTGTACCGGCAGACAATAACTAACCCATGACACAACCCTGACACACTATTAGCTTAGTTAGGCGGGCAGCCCGCCCTCTCTTACCTCCTAAACTTCTTCAATTTCCGAACTATAACTTCCTTCCCCCACCTCTAATCTTCCTTCACCCTCTCCTTTCTCGAAAACAACACCACTCTCACCATCATCAGTAAAATAAGATACACAATTGTTTATATTAATTTTTATTGATCAGTTATATACAATGGAGAAAGAATTAGAGCAGTGACGTTGACAACACACAGCGAGTAATGGGAATAAATGGATCACGTGAAGATTAGATACCCTAACCTAACCTAACCTAACCTAACCTGATCTGACCTAACTTATTTTAACCTAATATGATGCTAACCTAACCTAACTTAACCTACCCTACCACACCCTAACCAAACCCTACCCTAATCCTACCTACCTAACCCTACCCTAAGCTAACCTAACCTAACTTAACCTACCCTACCACACCCTAACCTAACCCTACCCTAACCTACCCTAACCTAACCTACCTTAAACCTAACCCCCTCAGGGAGCATTAAGGCGACAAAAGCATTATATATTAGCCTCATGTAGAGATTTAAATACCCTATGTAAGCTTTATTAAATGTAAAGAAAGACTAATATAATGAGTTTTAAAAATGTGTATGTGAAACCTCTATTTAACGGATTATATAGTGGAAAGTCCGTTATATCGAGGGTCCCTTAGATGTGAACCCCCTCATATAACGGATAATACAGAGAAATCCGCTATATAGAGGTTTCACTATATACATAACCTGTTAATAGAGACAGTCAATTAAAACTCTATATAATCGTTACACCCCCCCTCCCCTGTTCACCCACCAAAAAACACCCCCCTTCGCTTTTTAGTCATGTTAACTACCTGTGACCTCTAGCAATGACCTCTGACCTTGACCCGATCCGAGAAAAATAAAAAATATAAAATAGGCCTAAATTTTGTCTAAATATATAGTTGTTGTTGTTGTTGTTTTTTTTTTTTTACTATTCTAGGCTTAAGCTGTGTAAAGTTTTGGTTATAGTTATGACAAGGTGAAAGATAGTTCCCGTGTGGACAAACAAACAAATAAACAAACACACGAACATTCATAAACAAACATAAATACAATAATATAGAAAGTCACAAACACACATACACACATACACACACAAACAAACACAAATGATCAATAGATTCAACACTTGGATGTGACCAGTTTAAACAACATCATTTCTTAAACACAAATGAGTATAAACAAAAAAGTTTATTATTACGGACACCTTGCTACTTAAGGCCACACACACACACACACACACACACACACACACACACACACACACACACACACACTAAATGAAGGCAACTGCAGTGTTAATATTGCGGAGAGTTACATTACGGTCACGATATATTGTGGGTAATACTCCGCCTTGTCGTACTTAACGTAGACTGTCGGGCCGTCGGGATCATCTACGGTAGTATCGAAGGTGATGTCGTCGTCGGGGTCTGGTGGGGGATCTACCATGCTAGGGTCGCCTTTGGTCACAGCTCCGATAGCCACCAGGATCACCAGCAGGTAGCAGTGGTCGTCGGCAGTGTCTGGGGTGCTGTGCCTTAATGCCCTGTTCACGTTTGAGAAGAAGTAGGTGCCTCGGCCGTACCTGGTCTTATTCCCGTAGGATCTCCCCTGATGGGTCCTGTCCAGGTTCTTCTTCAGGATCTTCGACAAGACATCCTTCGTGGTGCCGTGGAACAGCTGCCTCACGGTGGGTTCTGGTCCCTTGTACTTGTCGGGCATCTCGCTGCATCTCCTCTGGAAGTCGCTCCACAACTGACGGTTCTGGACACGCTTGATCCCCATCACACTCCTGTTGTGTAGTCCGGGCTCCAGCAGCTCCGCCACCTCCTTGTACTCACTCGTGTACGGGTTGAGGGACTTGAGGCGCACAGCTTCCTTTGGGCCCATCTCCTCCCAGGTCTCAGGGAAGGACGTCTCAAGATTGGAGTCTTGGTTACTGGGGGAGGGGGCCCTGGGGGTGGGAGATGGGGTCGTCGGAGGCTCCTCGTCATTGTCGTTTGAAGAGGATGAGGGGGACTCGTCGTAGTGACAGGTGGGAGACAAGAGCGTGGTTGTGTTTCGTTCGTGTTGGAAGTGAGGCTTAGGTCGTCGTCGGATCTCCCGCTGATAGCCGCTCTGATCGTTGGTCTGAGTCATGGTGACGAAGTTGATGGTGTAGGTCGACCTGCTGGTGGCGAAGTACATCACCTCGTCGCCGTTCTTATAGTTACTCTCTATCTCCTCAGAGTTCACGCTACTCTTCACGTCCTCGCAGGGAGTTCCAAAGGGCAGCCAAATGTCGTCTTCAACTGAGAAATACCAGATGAAGGTCCTCGCCGGAACCTCAGTGTCTTCCTTCTCCTCCGTACACAGTCGACGGAGCCACAGGATCTCGCCAGAGGAATTGGTGAGAGTATTGGTGTTGAATTGCACCTCCCACGTGTCCTGCCCCATCAGCTGCTGCAGGATGTGTTGTGATGGGTGGTAGCTGACGGGGTACAGCGGGGGGACTTGTACACTCTCCTGTGATGGGTCGCAGTAGCTGCGTTCTAGGGCGTCCACTTGGGAGTCCTGGAGATTCTGCCAGCGGCCACCTTCCTCCCGCACCTGGAACTGGTAGTGTCGGGTGGCGTGAAGCCGTTGACAGCCGGTGCTCTCCCTGTCGCATAGTCCCTCCACCGAGTCGTAACAGATCTCTGGTTCGGGGACATCCCCGTCCGGGTAGAGGGTCCAGAGGGAGGCGCTGCTGCGGCCGCTCCTCGGCAGCACCCTCGCCTCACCCTCAGACTCCTGCATCACCAGCTGCACCATCTTGCACAGCACGTCGTTGGCCACGCCCTCTAGGAACAAGTTGTACAAGATTCGGGAGTTCGGTTGGTCGTCCCAGTCATGGCTCCGGTAACAGACGTCCCCGGTACACACGTCGTGCAGGTAGTGCAGGTTCTGGCACTCGTCAGCGAGGTCACAGCTACCGGGGTTGCTGCTGTAGTAGGGGCACAGCGTCACCATAGGCCTCAGCTTCACCACCTCCTCCTCCAGGTGAAACACCCTCGGGTAGGTGAAGGCCACCCGACGTACACCAGACGGCTGGAAGTTGTGTTTTTGCCAGAGGTGAAGCAGCGTGGTGGAGAGGTGAGGCTTCGTCGACAACACCTCCACCAGCTTCCGTGGGCGGAGGAACGTCCTGTTGGCCTGACCTGGTGGAGAGGCACACAAAGGTCAAGGTCAGGAAGTTGCAGGGAACGGACACTATATACATAAGACAATTATTGCTCTCTCTCTCCTTTGTCTGCCTGTCTGTCTGTCTGTCTGTCCACTTACTTATCGACACCACCACCACACATCTCTCTAAGTATATACTGTACACTAACCGACCACATAATTATAAACAAACAGCGAGCTTAACAACCCTTCAACTCAATAACAATAATATAATTATCCTTTTGGTCAATTAGTGATAATTTTCCCTAACACTATTAATTAATTTTAAGTCACTATATTAACTTTTAAATTGCAGTGGTTAATTACTCCTAGTCATTTACCTGCGATATTTTGTATGGCTATTTATATATTAATTTGTATCTGTAAATGATAGGTTACCTTGATCCATGTTGAGGGTGGTAGGATGGGACGTGTTCAGGGCGTGTTCTTGTTGTGTTCAGGACGTGTTTAGCTTGTGTTCAGGACGAGTTTAAGACGTGTTCAGGCTCGTCGTGGCGTGTTGACAGCTTATCTCCAGTTGTAGGGAATCTCTTTTTGTTTTCGCTGATCGTAAATTCTGAAATGGTTAAAAAACGCAACTCCAGATTCTTAAAGACTCGTAAGATAAGAAGATTTAAGAAGCCATTAATTGTTTGGCTTAAGATTAAACACAAATATCACAAAAATGGCACTAAAATTAACACTGAGACTCTACCTTAACTAGATACCTTCACTTAACACACCAGTTAGGAGACAAGATTAACACTGAGACTTTACCTTAACTAGATACCTTCACTTAACACACCAGTTAGGAGACAAGATTAACACTGAGACTCTACCTTAACTAGATACCTTCACTTAACACACCAGTTAGGAGACAAAATTAACACTGAGACTTTACCTTAACTAGTTACCTTCACTTAACACACCAGTTAGGAGACAAAATTAACACTGAGACTCTACCTTAACTAGATACCTTCACTTAACAAACCAGTTAGGAGACAAGATTAACACTGAGACTCTACCTTAACTAGATACCTTCACTTAGCTACAGCGCAAATCAATCTACAGTACACACATCCCCAGGTATATATGTGTGTATGTGTGTGTGTGTGTATGTGTGCTTATGTGTCTGTCTCTGTGTGTGATTGTATTGGCGGATTTTCAGGGGTTAAGAAGGTACCTAGGTGAGGTCACCTGGGAACAGTCACGTCAGTCCCCAGTAGGAAGGGGTGAGGTCATAGATGACACAACAATTGATCATGACTTTAATATATTCACTAGTATACTACATAAAGCACAAGAACAAAATATACCATACAGAAAAATTAGGGCAAATAAGAATGAGCCAAGGTGGATGACCAGAAAACTTAAACATGACATAGGAATAAAGAAAGGAATATATAAGAAATTAAAGGGAGGGGAGGAGCGGCTCAGAAATAGGTATAATGAACTATCTAGGAATATTAAGAAAAATGTAAGGAAAGCAAAGAGAGACTATGAAATCAAAATAGCAAGAGAATCCAAGGCGAATCCCAAGGGATTTTTCCAGGTATACAGAACAAAGGTCAAGGACAAAGTTGGGCCTTTAAAGTCAGGGAGGGGAGAAGTGATAAATGGCAGTGAAGAAATGAGCAAGGCATTGAACAGCTACTTCTTATCAGTTTTCACAGAAGAAATTCGTGAGGAAATTCCAGAGGTGGAATTGATATTTAGGGGAAAGGAAGAAGAGAAATTAAAGAATATCACTATCAGAAAAGAGGATGTTCTTAAGAAGATAAATAAACTAAAGAAGACAAAATCCCCAGGGCCGGATGAAATTTTCCCTCGAGTCTTGAAAGAGTGTAGGGAACAGATTAGCGGACCCCTCGTAAATTTATTTACAAATTCATTAGACACCGGAGTTGTGCTAGACTTGTGGAAACAGGCAAATGCAGTACCCATATTCAAAAAGGGAGACAGAGCGTCAGTGTCAAATTACCGGCCGATCAGTTTGACGTCAGTAGTGGGGAAGCATCCGATCGCATTTAGAGAAAAGCAAATTAATCTACGACTTGCAACATGGGTTTACAAAGGGAAAATCTTGTCTAACAAATCTGCTGACGTTTTTTAGGAAAGTCTTCGAGGTAGTAGATAATGACGAAAATTACGATGTTATTTACTTAGACTTTAGCAAAGCATTTGACAGAGTACCGCATCAGAGGCTTCTGAGAAAAATTAAGGCTCATGGTATCGAGGGGAAAGTTTTAAATTGGATAAAATCATGGCTCACCGAGAGAACGCAGAGGGTCAGCGTAGATGGTGTTAAATCTGAGTGGGGCCGTGTAACCAGTGGGGTTCCCTAGGGATCAGTACTAGGCCCACTCTTGTTCATAATCTACATAAACGATCTAGATACTGGGATCAGCAGTGACATAAGCAAGTTTTCGGATGACACCAAAACAGGGCGGCAGATTAATTCAGGGCAGGATGCAAATGCATTACAGGAGGATCTAAATAAACTGCAGGGGTGGTCTGAAAAATGGCAAATGAAATTCAATACCAGCAAGTGCAGCGTACTGAATATTGGAAGAACAAATACTGTCAATGTATACAGCCTTAACAACATCAACCTAGAGAAGTCGACTTGTGAAAGGGACCTAGGGGTACTTGTAAGCCCGGACCTACGGCCTAGAAAACAGTGCGTTAATGTTCGAAATAAGGCAAACAGAGTATTGGGTTTTATATCTAGAAATGTAAGTAATAAGAGTGCAGAGGTCTTATTGCAACTATATCTTGCGCTAGTCAGGCCGCACCTCGATTATGCGGTTCAGTTCTGGTGCCCTTATTATAGAATGGATATCAATTCACTAGAGTCGGTGCAGCGAAGAATGATGAAAATGATTCTGAGACTTAGAAACCTTCCATATCAGGATAGGTTAAAGAAACTAAACTTGCATTCCCTAGAAAGACGAAGAGTGCGGGGAGATATGATAGAAGTATTTAAGTGGGTGAAAGGAATCAATAAAGGGGATATAGATAAAGTTCTTATAATATCCGAGCAGGATAGGACTCGGAGCAACGGATTTAAGTTGGATAAGTTTAGGTTTAGGAGGGAGATAGGAAGGAACTGGTTCACAAATAGGGTGGTGGACGAGTGGAACAAGCTTAGCAACTTTGTAGTAAGTGCTGGAACGCTGGAGAGTTTTAAAAAGAGGCTAGATAGATTCATGGATGATAGAGAGTGGTAGTAACTCTCAACAGGAGCTGCCATGCACAGGCCAACCGGCCTATTGCAGACTCCTTACTTTCTTATGTTCTTATGTATGTATGTATGTATGTATGTATGTATGTATGTATGTATGTATGTATGTACGTCTGTGTACCTGTGTATGTGTTGCCGTGACATTAATGTATCGATCCAGACGAGGTGAGGAATGAAACTATGCAGCAGGTGACTCATCCCACCACGTCACATGAAGAGGCAACACTCACTTGGGGGTTAATTGGGAGCTGAGAAAGTTATTTACCTGGTGTGTAAGGTTAGGTTAGGTTAGGTTATGTTAGGTTATGTTAGGTTAGGTTAGGTTAGGTTATGTTATGTTAGGTTAGGACTTCCGGGTAGAGAGAGAGTGAGTGAGTGAGTGAGAGAAAGAAAGATATATAGAGAAAGAGAGAGAGAGAGAGAGAGAGAGAGAGAGAGAGAGAGAGAGAGAGAGAGAGGTACGTACGTAATAGACTCAGTAACCCCTACACACACACACACACACACACACACACACACACACACACACCTACTGAACTCTACCAGGAAAAACTCGATAAATGACTCACACACACACACACACACACACCTAGACTGTCTATAAATTAACCTTATCTTCTGTCTATTCTTACTGTCTTACTTACCCTCTGTCTCACTGTCTTCTTATACCTTTTAAGTCTTCTGTTTTATCACGTATTTTCTGTCTTTTCTTAATTTACTTATGTTATCACCTTTTTTTTTTATCTGTCAGGGATTATTCTCACTGTGGTCGAGGAGCACAGATGAGCCCTCCTCCTCGAGTAGTACAGTCAGGATTGGTCTTAGTTTCATGGGGAGGTCTTGAGGTCTTTCCAAATGGTCTCAGGTTTACAGAGAGATTGTTAGGTCCCGGCAGACGTGATTCGGGAGGTGTTAGAGGAGCCCTTAGGTGGGATATTGATCCTTTAGGACCTTTGAGAAGCCCTTAGTAGATTGATGAGGACCTTAGATCGACGGAGAATAGCCTTTTAGGTCCGTAACGAGAGCCCTCAGATCGGGCCTTCGTCAGGACACCTTGTTCGTCCGGTGGCTAGCAGGGTGACTAGCGGGTTTAGTAACGGAGGGAGGGGAGGTGGAGGGAGGGGAATGGAAGGTGGGGGAGAGGGAGAGGGAAGGGGAAGGGAAGGAGGGAGGAGGAGGAGAAGGAAGGGAGGTAAAGAATGAAGGAGGGTGACAATGGGGGAAGGGGGAGAATGGGGGGTAAGGGGAAGAGCAGGAAGGGGGTTAGAGGTAAGGGGAGGGGAGGGAGAATGGGGGTAAGGAGGAGCAGGAAGGGGTTAGGAGGTATGGTGGAGGAGGGGAGAATGAGGGGTAAGGGGAGGAGCAGGAAGGGGGTTAGAGGTAAGGGGAGGGGAGGGTCACCAGGTCCGACGTATTGATTGACCACCCAAGGTAAAGTTCAGGTATCGTGTGTAAGCTCCACCCCGTCTTCCAAGCGACCATGTAACCTGCTATACTGCACCTACTGATCCACACTGCTACATCGCCAAACAAAACCCGGAAAAGTAACCAAAATAACAAGAAAATAACAAGAAAATAACCAAAATAACAAGAAAGCAACAGAATTATAAAAAAAAATATAAAAATTAATAACACCTCAACTACGTAATTAACAAGAGCCGAAAAATTGGATATGATATACAGGAGCTGGGTGTAAACAGGACTGGGTGTAAACAAGAACTGGGTGTAAACAGGACTGGGTGTAAACAGGACTAGGTGTAAACAAGGACTGGGTGTAAACAGGACTGGGTGTAAACAGGACTAGGTGTAAACAAGGACTGGGTGTAAACAGGACTGGGTGTAAACAGGACTAGGTGTAAACAAGAACTGGGTGTAAACAGGACTGGGTAACAGGACTGGGTGTAAACAGGACTGGGTGTAAACAGGACTGGTGTAAAACACTGGGTGTAAACAAGAACTGGTGTAAACAGGACTGGGTGTAAACAGGACTAGGTGTAAACAAGAACTGGGTGTAAACAGGACTGGGTGTAAACAGGACTGGGTGTAAACAGGACTGGGTGTAAACAGGACTGGGTGTAAACAGGACTGGGTGTAAACAGGACTGGGTGTAAACAGGACTGCACTAACAATAGCACAAACAGGAATGCATTTTGTCAGTGTGTGTGTGTGTGGGAGGGGGAGAGATGGGTGTGTGTGTGTGTGTGTTCGTTACCATGGCGACAGATGTTTACAGTATTGAGACGCCAGAGTAACTATTGTCTGTGTTATTCTGCTTATTATTATTATTATTATTATTATCATTATTATTATCATTATTATTATTATTATTATCATTATTATTATTATTATTATTATTATTATTATTATTATTATTATTATTATTATTATTATTACGTTATTTGTACTACTTGAGGTTCTTGGATTCGTGGGTTTGAGTTCAAGGGTTCGGGTTCGTAGGTTAAGGTTCGTGGTTTCGGGTTCATAGGTTCGGATTCGTGTGTTCGGGTCGAGGATTCAGATTCGTGGGTTCGGGTTCGTAGGCTCGATGAAGGGTTTTAGACCTGACGGCAACACAGTGCTAGACGTAGATGGATATTAAAGGTGGGAATCCATACTATAAACCCTAACAAAATAACCCATAATAGGATACGTGATAAATTGCATCCAAAAAAACTACCTTATCTTGTATTAATTTATTATAAAACAAATACAACTAATTGAATAAAGTAATTGTATAAAATAATTTGAGTTACCTGTAATATCAGCATAACAGGAAAGGCTTAAACACACACACACGAAAACTTACATAAAATTTGCTCATGAAAATATAATAAAAAATTTCACAACAATACTTCTCAAGAAATCGAATGCTAAAGAGACGCCATTGTTGTTTACTTCGGTGACGTCACATATAAACAGGTGTGACGTAACCAAATAAGTGGACGAGAAGATATTGAGCCATAAATAGACAGACATTGAGAAACAGGTAAACAGACAGGTAAGGAGACATATATGAATGGCTATATAGATAAATAGACAGACTGAGAGACAGGTGAGAGAGGACGGGTGGAGGAGTTCACTCGAGGGTGACCATGTACTCTGGGTAGTACTCCTGCTTGTCGTACTTGACTATGACAGTAGGAGTGATGGAGTCATCTACCGTGGAGTCAAACAGTCTACCTGTGATGGGATTGAGTGGAGGACGTGTCATGGAGGAGTTCCCTTCCACCGTCGTCCCCACCGCCACCTGCGCCACCAGCAGGTACCTCTTCCCCTCGGGGTCACGGTGGCAGTAACTCAAAGCCTTGGTAGCGTCAGGGGTGAAGTACGACCCTCGACCGTACTTGTGGCCGGAGTTTGAGCCGTGAAGCCTCCAGTCTAAGTTGTCAGCACAGATAAGCTTGAGCACGTCATGCCGGGTGCCGTGGAACAGGTGACGGACGTTCACCTCCCGCCGGTCGTTGTTGAGGGTGGTGAGGGCGTGGATCTTGTTCTGGAAGGCGCGCCACAGGAACGGGTTCTGAATCCTCTCCACTTTCGAGATGGTTAAGTGAGAGATGGAGTTGAGTAGGAGTTCCCTGAGTGTGGTGTACTCCTCGGAGAATGTGGCTAGTGTTATGAGGCGGTAGAAGACCCCCTCGGTGATGGGCTCCCAGTGGTTAGGTAAGTTCACCACCGTCGGGTCTACTGTACTGTTCTCCTTCAGGTGTGGCTTTGGCCTCCGTCGTACATGGTGAATACGTTGAGTGTCGTTGTGAGTGAGAGTCATGGTGGAGAAATTGAGACAGTACTTGTCGCCCACGTTGTTCAAGGTGATGCTCTGGCTGGTACTCTCTATGTACTTCTTCTCAATATAGGTGGAGTTAAAATTGTTGATGAGGTCGCCGGCACCTTGGTGTTCCAACTGCACCCACTCATCCGGTCTCTGCTCGTAGTACCACAAGAAGGTTCTCGCTGGTGCAGGGTCCTCGCCAGCCTCTACACACAACCTCCTTAGCTGTAAATTCTTCTCAATGGACACGAGTAACATTTTGTCAAAGTCTGATGACAAGACATGTTGTCCCATGACGGGTAGGAGAGCCTCAGCCCAGGGCTCCAGTGTGTCAGGGTAAAGGGCGGAGACAGACGCTTCTCTGTGCAGGGTCGCAGAAGACTTGCTCCAGCCGCTGTGACTGCCTGGCCCTCAGGTTCATCCAACTATTGCCCTGCTCACTCACCTGCCACTGGGTGTACTCGGTGGAGTGGAGGCGAGGACACCCAATACCCTCATTGGGACACATACCCACCACAGACACCCGACATATCTCAGGAATGTCCACGTCGCCGTAGAGATGATGTGACCAGACAGTAGTGGAGGTGTGGGGAGGTACCGGTACCTGGGGTAACAGGACCACTTGCCTAGGCTGCCTGAGAGTCGTATTGTTACAGACCAGAGCCTTCACTATATCTATTGGTGCCTCGTTGGTGGGCAGACCGTGTTTCATGAGCAGCTTCTGGACGGAGGGTTGTGTTAGGTCATGGATCAGTGTACACGAAGGATATGGACACTTGGCATTACCCTGAACGAAGCTGAGGCAGATGTGCAGAGCGTCACAGTCCCTCCGCCCACACCCTCGGAAGTCATTGTAGTTGCGACAAACATCAAGAGGACCGAGAGGCTGTGGGCAAGGACTGGTGCCCCGGATGAGCATGAGGAGGATCTCTGACGGAAGGGTAGACACAAAATAGTTCTGCAGGATCCTGGAGTTGTGGTCAGTCGTACACACGTGACCCAGGAGACACAGGTCGTTGTTACAGGATCCGTCCACGTAGTCTTGACACAGGTGAAGGTCGCTGCACTCGCTGATGGACACAGCCCTCGCCACTGGCATGATCACTGCAAATGACCAACTCCGGCCGCAGCTCCACCGTCTCATAGTTGAGCCTGAAGGTCTTGTCGTAGGCGTGGACGACCTTACTCACAGAGTCTGGGTTGAGGTACTTCTCCTCAAACAGCGTCAGGAGGGTAGTGCGGAAGTCAGGTTTATAGGCCAGGATCTCCGCTAGAGCCGTGGGCAGGATCCAGTTGTTGATGTTATCGAGGGAACCAGGGAGTGTTCGGGGCACCTCCTGGCCCGCCTCCCCCGCCCGCGAGAGTCTTCTTCAGTTACAAATGGTTGTCTCAGCGGTGACCTCGATGGCTTGTAACCATGACCGACACTCTGAAACATAGACCCAATATTTACAAAGTTGTCCTGAGGGTTGGGTTAGGTTAGGTTAAATATCAGGGTGTTTAATTTTAAGGTGAAATAGAGGGACTAATCTTCAGGTGAACTAATAAACCTCACTCATAAAGCATTATAATTACCGATGACTTATATAAGGACCAACCCTAGACACAGTGATACAGTCTACTCACCTCAATTCTTGTACCGTCATCAACAAACACGTCATCTTCACCACAACTTAACCTGCCAACTAAAGACGAAAATCACCCATAAAAATCAAGAAATATCACCCTTATCTATCGTTCATTCAAGGTTTGTTTACATTTTATCGTACGCTCCTAGTGATATGATTATTATCGTTTTGAGTCGATTATCTTTTATTTTACTGTTTTGTATATTTTTATTATTTTATTTTCTTAATTTCATTCTTTTGTTTGTTTGAAGTTTATTGCTGGAAATATTTTTATTGTTTGTTTTAATTTTAAGTTGTTCTCTCTCTCTCTCTCTCCCTCCTCTCTCTCTCTCTCTCTCCTCCCCTCTCTCTCTCTCTCTCCTTCCTCCTCTCTCTCTCCTCTCTCTCTCTCTCTCTCTCTTTACTCACCATAGCTAACATCATCAATATTATCTGAGTCAAGAAGGTCTCGCACCACACGGGAGAAAGGCATGTTGAAAGAAAGTTCTCTCTCTCTTTCTCTTTCTAATCGGCATCCTGTTGAGAGAAAGTTAAAGAAAGTCCAGTAAAAGTAAAAAAAAAATAGCTATTGAAATGTGGATATTATGTTATCTCTATCTATCTTCACTATCTATCTATCTCTCTATCTTCACTATCTATCTATTTATCTATCTTCACTATCTATCTATCTCTCTATCTTCACTATCTATCTATTTATCTATCTTCACTATCTATCTATCTCTCTATCTTCACTATCTATCTATTTATCTATCTTCACTATCTATCTATCTCTCTATCTTCACTATCTATCTATTTATCTATCTTCACTATCTATCTATTTATCTATCTTCACTATCTATCTATCTATCTATCTTCTCTTTATCTATCTCTCTCTATCTACAGTCAATATCACTGCCCAATTAAACACCAACGACCATTAACACATAACAAGAAACATCACTGATAAAATAACCATAAATAATTAATTAACGAGAAAATAATTAAAGATATATAATTATTAAAGAGACAATATAATTAATTAAGAGATAAGACTCACCGTAAGTTACCTGGTGTTCCTACTACCCATGGATGAGTGTTGGGTGAGTCGGTGGAGGTGGATGAGTGACACCTCTGTACCGACGTGTGGAGGTGGATGAGTGACACCTCTGTACCGACGTGTGGAGGTGGAGGAGTGCTTCTGACACCTCTGTACCGACGTGTGGAGGTGGATGAGTGCTTCTGACACCTCTGTACCGACGTGTGAAGGTGGATGAGTGACACTTCTATACCGACGTGTGGAGGTGGATGAGTGACACCTCTATACCGACGTGTGGAGGTGGATGAGTGACACCTCTGTACCGACGTGTGGAGGTGGATGAGTGACACTTCTATACCGACGTGTGGAGGTGGATGAGTGACACCTCTGTACCGACGTGTGGAGGTGGATGAGTGACACTTCTATACCGACGTGTGGAGGTGGATGAGTGACACCTCTGTACCGACGATAACAAAACAGCACCTTTGGCAGAGCTCAGAAAACGACACCCTATTCCTTCCAAGGTCGAACTAACACTGACCAAACCAACTACATCATGCAACCCCCTCACCCAACCCCCTCACCCAACCCCCCCAAGACCTACAAGTTGCCACAAATCACTTTTTTTAATTACCTTCTTTGTTTATATGAATTACTTCTATTCTATTTAAGGTGAAAAAATGGTTAAATGAAAGTTATGTATATATTTGGTTATTTATTTCCAAGTGAGGTGATTTTCGTTAGTTTCTTTACAGTTTTTAGTGAGTTTGAAAGTTTGTAAGATTCCACTGAGGAGGTGAGGAGGGGGGAGGGAGCAGTGGTATTCCAGGAACAAAGAGAAACTGGTACTTTTTTGGTATGCGATTCCTAGAAATCATAACACACACACACACACACACACACACACACTAACCAGGACCACCCTCTCCTTCCTGTTCTGAATGTAGAGGCGATTTTTTTTTTACAGGGATTAGCCCACCAAGGCACATGTCACTAACCCACGTCGGGGCCTGGGGGGCGAAAATGTAATAATAATAATAAATAAATACAAAAAAAATAAAATAAAATAATAGTGACAAACGATATATGTATGTTGTGTTGTCAATAGTAAGAGAAACAATTAAGACCCTGCAATTGTGTGTGACAGAAAGTCGGATTATCAACCTGGGACTTGGTCACATATGGCAGCAAGGTCTACCATTACACAACACATTCAAGCTTCCAATACCTTCCCAGGCGGTAGCACCTCCCTGTTTGGTAGCTAAAATACTAATACTAAAATAACACGTACTTATTCCTTTCCACTTTTATGTATGCAGACTATGCTATCTAATGCCAGCTGTGGGAAACGCGGGAGTAGATCAATACAAGCAAATGTCAACACAGTCAGCTGATACCTGGCGCCAACGTAGTCTTGTAAACATTGTCAGTATAAAGAAATTTGGCGCGAATTATTAATAGGTCTTGTGTTGTGGCTAAGACCCATTCCTTCTACATGAGTCACCCACAAAAAGTAAACAAAGAAGAATGAAGACAATAATACAAATCGATAGGAATAGTAAATAGATAAATAGAATAGATTAATGTTGTTATGTTATGTTATGTTATGTTATGTTATGTTGTTATGTTATGTTATGTTATGTTATGTTATCAAATGTAGTTTATTGATGTAATTATCATTGCCTTTATTGACCTTTATTTACAGGTTGGGTCGCGGTGATCTGTACACCACACACCACCTCGCCACACCCAAGCGTTCAGTTCGCCACCTGTCACAAGAGCTACTAACACTCACCTACCATGATGTCACCTACCATATAGCTGAGGTTCTCCCTACCACCTACAGCACCTACCTGTCTCTCACCTGTCCACCCAGCTATAGACCAACACCTCTTCCCGGCCTCTGACCACGAGCGGGAAGCCAATGGAGGTATTAAATGGAAAGGGGGACGGGAACAAAAACGGCGACTACACGGGATTGGAGAACGGCAGAGTGGAGGGCGGAGCTAAGGCCCAAAATGGAAGCGGATTGGACGAGGATAAAGAGGGCGGAGCTAGGAGACCACACCGAGACAAGGGATTGGTCGAAGAAGAACGAGTGGGCGGAGATGAGGATAACACAGACGAAGGGAGTGAGTTGGACGCTGTTTTAAGATGGGCGGACAGACGAGGCGCTTATGAGAGGTTGCTGGTGTGGGCGTGGGTGGCCCCTGTGTGTCTGCTGGCGCCCTGTATGTATATGAACATCCTACTGATGGTGTATCTCCCCTCCCACACCTGCTCGCTGCCACCACCTCCAGATAGTCTCTCACTAGACGCCTGGAGGAACATTACTACACCCAGGTTGGTTAGGTTAGGTTTAGCGCTCTCCTTCTCTCACTCAATCTCCTCTCTATCTCTCCATATCTCATTTATCTCTATTTCCCCCCTTCTCTCTATCTCCCCCTTCTCTCTATCTCCCCCCTTCTCTTTATCTCCCCCTTCTCTCTATCTCCCCCTTCTCTCTATCTCTCTCCTTCTCTCTATCTCTCTCCTTCTCTCTATCTCTCTCTATCTCTCTCCTTCTCTCTATCTCCCCCTTCTCTCTATCTCTCTCCTTCTCTCTATCTCTCTCCTTCTCTCTATCTCTCTCCTTCTCTCATCTCTCCTTCTATCTCCCCTTCTCTATCTCCCTCTCTCTCATCTCTCTCATCTCTCTCCTTCTCTATCTCTCTCATCTCTCATCTCTCCTTCTCTCTATCTCTCTCTCTCTCTATCTCTCATCTCTCCTCTCTATCTCTCTCCTCTCCTTCTAAAGGTAAATAACAACAAATTCTCAAACCTTCTCTTACAGGACGACTCTGGAAGACTGAGCTCCTGTACAGCTCCATGACTCTCCTCTGCCCTGACGACCTCTCAAGTCATCTCAGAACGACCACTTGAGGGAGAGCCTGGACGACCTCTCAAGTCATCCTCAGAACGACCACTTGAGGGAGAGCCTGGACGTCCTCTCAAGTCATCCTCAGAACGACCACTTGAGGGAGAGCCTGGACGACCTCTCAAGTCATCCTCAGAACGACCACTTGAGGGAAAGCCTGGACGTCCTCTCGTCATCCCCAGAACGACTCCACTTGAGGGAGAGCCTGACGACCTCTCAAGTCATCCTCAGAACGACCACTTGAGGGAGAGCTGACGTCCTCTCAAGTCATCCCTGCCAGAACGACCACTTGAGGGAGAGCTCTGGACGACCTCTCAAGTCATCCTCAGAACGACCACTTGAGGGGAGAGCTCTCCTCAAGTCATCCTCAGAACGACACTTGAGGGAGAGCCTGACGAATCTCAAGTCATCCCCAGAACGACCACTGAGGAAAGCCTGACCACAATCACGACCTTGACACAACCACAATCATTCCCTTGAAAACAACCACAATCACGACCTTGACAACAACCACAATCACGACCATGACAACAACCACAATCATTCCCTTGAAAACAACCACAATCACGACTTTGACAACAACCACAATCACTCCCTTGAAAACAACCACAATCACTCCCTTGACAACAACCACAATCATTCCCTTGACAACAACCACAATCATTCCCTTGACAACAACCACAATCATTCCCTTGACAACAACCACAATCACGACCTTGACAACAACCACAATCATTCCCTTGAAAACAACCACAATCATTCCCTTGACAACAACCACAATCACTCTCTTGACAACAACCACAATCACTCCCTTGACAACAACCACAATCACTCCCACGAAAACTCTCCTCACTCCCCACATGACTCCCACTCCCCACTCGAGGCACAGGAAGGGTACTTGAGGGCGGCGATGACGTGGCAGGAGCGACACCCGGACTCTTCCCCGACTCAGTTCACTACAGGTGAGTCAACTTAACCTAACCTAACCAAACCTAACCTAACCTAACCTAACCTAACCTAACCTAGAGTGTGATATGTGTGTATGTGGCAAATAAGAGACAACGTGTTCGTATCCCCTCATCCCAGAGTGTGTGTTCGGCTACGACTTCGACCGCACGTACTTCGAGGAGACAGAAGCGACAGAGATGGGGTGGGCGTGTGGGGAGGTGGGCGCCATACAGCAGGTCCTACACGCTGCGATGTTGGGCAACCTCTTCGGCTGTGTTATCTACGGGGCGCTGGCTGATAAGTGAGGTGGTCTGTCTGTCTGTTTGTCCTTGTGTTGATTTAGTAGAGAGAGGGAGGAGAAAGGAGGTCTGGGAAAGGAAGAGGAGGAGAGTGGAGACCTAGGGAAGGAAGAGACGGTGGAAGTGAGGGAAGAGAAAAAGAGGGAGGTCTGGGGGGGAGGAGAGAGCAGGCCTGGGGAAGGAACAGGAGGAAGACGAGAGGAGGAGGAGGAAGAGAATGAAGAGGAGGAGCAAGGCTAATTTATCAGACTGGGAAGAGGAGAGCAACAACATATCATCTATTACCTTAAATTTGTATGTTTCAGTTTTAGTATAGTTAACCATTACCGTTTTCTTTGTTTCCCCAAGAATTCTTATAATAGAAAACGATATAAGACGAGAAAAAAATTGAGGGTAAACTTCGATACATCTCGTAACATATGGTAAATTGTCGCATCCCATGACCTCTCACATACCAGAACCCCTTCCTTTAAACACCTGGTACTTCACATATACACCTGGTCTCTCTCTCACAGGGTTGGAAGACGCCTGGTATTTCTACTGCTGGCGCTGAAGGTGGCGGTGCTGGGTTCAACTTATGTGTTCCTGAAGGAGATGTGGGTGGTGCTGATGGTCCGTTTCCTGGTGTCGATGGGTCTACCTGTTCTCTACCAGATTGTTATTATTTCAGGTAAGGAGAGAGAGAGAGAGAGAGAGAGAGAGAGAAAGAGAGAGAGAGAGAGAGAGAGAGAGAGAGAGAGAGAGAGAGAGAGAGAGAGAGAGAGAGAGAGAGAGAGAGAGAGTCAAATATCAGAAAAGAAAAATAGGATAAAAAATAAATAAAAATATGTACAATGACAAGAACAAGAGGAAATGTAAGACGGAGAAGAATAGGAAGAGGAGGAGGAGGAGAAAGGAGAAGGACGGGGAGTAGGAAGAGAAAATAAATCACCACCACCAAGAATAACATACAATGACTAACCAACTCTCTCTCTCTCTCTCTCTCTCTCACAGCCCTGGAACAAGTCCGAGATGAACACCGTGGGATGGTCACCTCACTCTCGTCCATCTGCTTCTCAGTGGGTCAGTGCCTCCTGGCTCTGGTGACCTGGCTTACAGGACACTGGGTCAAGCTGGGTCTGGTGACGAGCGTTCCGGCACTCCTCGCCCTCGTCTACATCAAGTAAGTTTGGTCTTGTTTGTTTTAGGTCTCCGTCAGGTATGTTTTCGCGTCTTCGTTAGGTGGGTTCTCTCTTCTGCGTCAGGTGGTTCCTCTCTGCGTCAGGTGAGTTCTCTCTGCGTCAGGTGGGTCTTCTCGTTTCCGTCAGGTGAGTCTTCTTGTCTGCGTCAGATGGGTCTTCTTGTCTGCGTTAGGTGGGTATTCTTGTCTGCGTCAAGTGGGTCTTCTCGTCTTCGTCAGGTGGGTCTTCTCGTCTTCGTCAGGTGGGTCTTCTCGTCTTCGTCAGGTGGATCTTCTCGTCTTCGTCAGGTGGGTCTTCTCGTCTTCGTCAGGTAGGTCTTCTCGTCTTCGTCAGGTGGGTCTTCTCTTGCCCGTCAGTGGGTCTTCCCGTCTTCGTCAGGTGGGTCTTCGTCTTCGTCAGGTGGGTCTTCTCGTCTTCGTCAGGTGGGTCTTCTCGTCTTCGTCAGGTGGGTCTTCTCGTCTTCGTCAGGTGGGTCTTCTCGTCTTCGTCAGGTGGGTCTTCTCGTCTTCGTCAGGTGGGTCTTCCATGGTGTTATTTTATTCATCTATTTATCACAATCGTCACATACCACAATCTCTCCCTCCCTCACTTGTTACCTTCTTACCTTTCTCCCTCCTCCCCCTCCTTATCTCTCCCTCCCCACCTCCCCTCTCATCTCCCCACGACCCACAAATCCCCCTACTACAGTCACCTTCTTCCCCACAGGGTCATTGAGGAGTCCCCAAGATGGCTGGTGGCCCGGGGTCGTCTGGAGGAGGCGGCGAAGGTGTTACTGAGGGTGGCTAAGATGAACCGCCTCGCTCCCACCCATCGAGACGTTCTGGCCAGGTTACATAAGGTACTGAAGGCGTAGTAGTAGTAGTAGTAGTAGAAGTAGTAGTAGTAGTAGTAGTAGTAGTAGTAGTAGTAATAGTAGTAGTAGTAATAAATGGAGTATATTGTGTATATTGGGGAGGCTGAGGCAAAAAAAAAAAAAAGTAGTAGTAGTAGTACTAGTATGTATGTATGTATGTATGCATGTATGTATGTATGTATGTATGTATGTATGTATGTATGTATGTACGTATGTATGTATACCATCTCTTTACACCTTACTAATCCTCTCCTCTCCCCTCCCCACCTCCCCTTAGGCCTGTGGACACCCTCTGGATTCGCCCCCCAGGACACAGAGATCCGGCAGGGAGTCCAACGCCTGCCTCGGTATCCTTGGACTGTTGACTCTATATCCTCGACTCTGCTACCGCACCGCTCTAGTCACTGTCTGCTGGTGAGTCATCTGGTCTTGGTGAGTCAGTTCAGAGAGTCCGTTAAATGATTCATGTTAAGAAATGACAATAAACTCCTTCTCTTCTCCGTCTCACCCCCAAAAATAAACCCCTTACCCCCTCACACCCCCTAACCCCCCTCACACCCCCTTAACCCCCCTCACACCCCCTAACCCTCACACCCCTTAACCCCCTCACACCCCTTAACCCTCACACCCCTAACCCCCCTCACACCCTCTTAACCCCTCACACCCCCTAACCCCCTCACACCCCCCTAACCCCCCACCCCTTAGCCTCTCACACCCCTAACCCCCTCACACCCCCCTAACCCCTCACACCCCCTAACCCCTCACATCCCCCTAACCCCCCCTCACATCCCCTAACCCTCACATCCCGGCCACACCCCCCTAACCCCTCACACCCTTAACCCCTCACACCCCCCTAACCCCCCACACCCCCTAACCCCTCACACCCCCCTAACCCCTGTACCCCTAACCCCCTCACACTCCCCCCTAACCCCCTCATACTCCTTGGGTCCCCCTCACACTTCTAAATCTCCTCACACCCCCCTAACCCCTTGAACATCTCTTTCCCCAGGACGGTAAACCTCATCCTATACTTCAGCAGCACCATGAAGTATCCTTACGTCTTCGAGAACCCCTTCCTAGGATGGTTCTGCACCTCGGCCATGGAAATCCCGGCCAATCTCCTCGTCCTGGTTCTACTGCGCAAGATAGGACGGCGCCCTCTACATGCTGGGGTCATGAGTCTCTGCGCCGCTGCTCTACTCTGCGCTGCGGTCGTGTTGGCTTTTGGTAGGGTATGGTGGGTGGTAGTGGGTGGTGGTGGGTGGTGATGGGTGGTGGTGGGTGGTAATGGGTGGTGGTGGGTGGTAGTGGGGTAGTTGGGTGGAGTGATGGATGAGGAGGAGAGAGAAAGAGAGAGAGAGAAAGAGAGAAAGAGGGAGAGAGAGAATCACACCACAAGATGCTAATTCTACCCATCCTTCCGTGTGTGTATATATATGTGTGTGTGTGTGTGTACTATATCCCCCCTCCCCCACACACACACACACACACCAATCCACCCTCTGTACACATACCTACTCACCTGGGGCACTACACCACCATAACGCCTGAGAAATCCTTTGAAGTCTCCCCTCGTTCCTTAATTAAATCCACCAGAGAAAATGGTTCCTGAATAACATTTTACAAAAGTCGTACATTTCCTTCTATAGTTTGGTATTTTTTTTATAGATGAAAGATGTGATACTGTGTGAGTGTGAGGGTATGACTGTTATTATTGTTGTTGTTGTTGTTGTTGTTGTTGTTGTTGTTGTTGTTGTGGCTGTTGTTGTTGTTGTTGTTATTAGTGTGTATTATTGTTGTTGTTGTTGTTATTATTATTGTTATCATCTCACAATTTCATCCTAAGATTAGACACCCTACCTAAACCTAACCTAATCTAACCTAACCTAACCTAACCTAACCTAACTCAACCACCTGGAGAAAGAGAGAGAGAGAGAGAGAGAGAGAGAGAGAGAGAGAGAGAGAGAGAGAGAGAGAGAGAGAGAGAGAGAGAGAGAGAGAGAGAGAGAGACACCCCGGCTTCAGCCTAACCAAGAGGACTCACCGCTTCATCACACAGGTAAACAGACCCGTAGTAATATAGTATTTCCACAGGTAAACACTGAAAGAGAACACCCAGTCGTACTTCAGGAGGTGAGGTTAAGTTAGGTTAGGTTGAATCCCTATCCAACACTCCTTCCTGCCCACAGTAACTCCCTCCTTCATCTCACCCTCACACTCCCTCCCTCACCTCACCCCTACACTACCTCCCTCACCCCCACACTCCCTCCCTCACCCCACACCCTCCCCACCCCACCCCCCACACTCCCTCCCCTCACCCCAAACCCCACACCACCTCCCTCACCCTACCCCACACTACCTCCCTCACCCCCACACTCCCTCCCTCACCCTTACACTCCCTCACTCCCTCCCTCACCCCCACAGGTTACGGCGAGAGACACAGAGGGGTGGCGGCGCTGGTGTTGGTGGCCAAGTTCTGCACCTCCATGACCTTCCTGGTGATCTACCTGCAGGCTGCCGAGCTGCACCCTACCCCCGTTAGGACCTGCGCTACCGGGTTCGCCTCACTGATCGCCCTCACCTGTAACATCTTCAGCCCCAGTATCCTGACGATGGTGAGTGGTGAGGGTACTGGTAGCCAATCACAGTGTAGCTTTCACATTCGGTAGCCAATCATAGTGTAGCTTTCACATTCGGTAGCCAATCATAGTGTAGCTTTCACATTCGGTAGCCATTCACCTTATACTTCAAATCCAGTAGCCAATCACAGCGGAGTTTTCACATCAAGTAGCCAATCACGGTGCACCATTCAAATCCAGTAGCTGTGATTGGCTTCTGGATTTGAAGGCTCTACTGTGATTGGCTACTGGATTTGAAGGCTCTACTGTGATTGGCTACTGGATTTGAACGCTCTACTTTGTTTGGTTGCTGGAATTGAACGGTCTACTTTGATTGGTTGCTGGAATTGAACGGTCTACTATGATTGGCTACTGAATTTGAACGCTCTACTGTGATTGGCTGCTGTATTTGAGATCCCAATTAAGATATAATTCACATAAACGTAAAATACAATAATTCATATTTTTTTTTACATATTTAAATACTGTATAACACACCCCCCCCACACACACCCCCCAATCACACCCCCCACAACCCACACCCCACCCACACCCCCAACCCCACCCCACCACCCACACCCCACCCACCCCCAACCCACACCCACCCACCCCACCCACACACCCCACCCACACCCACCCCACCCACACACCCACACCCACCCCAACCCACACCCCCCACCCCACACACCCACCCCACCCACACACACCACCCCACACACCCACACTCACCCACCCCACCCACACCACCCACCCCACCCACACCCCCCACCCACACCACCTACCCCCCTGCACCCACACACACCCCACCTACCCCCCCAACCCCACACCCCACCCAACCCACCCCACACCCACCCACCCAACCCCAACCCCAACCCACACACCACCCAACCCCACACAACCCCCAACCACACCAACCCACACCCCAACCCAACCCCACCCACCCTCCAACCCCACCCACACACCCACCCCCAACCCACACACCCCACCCACACCCACCCACCCCACCCAACACACCACCCACCCCACCCACACCCCCCACCCACACACCACCCACCCCACCCACACACCACCTACCCCCCACCCACACACCCCACCCACACACACTCACCCCCACCCCCACCCACACACACCACCTACCCCCACCCACACCCCCCACCCACCCTCAAACATACTAATTCTTCCTCCTTCATCACCTCCTACAGACACATCCTTGGCAAAGTTACCTCCTGATGGGGTGCCTGGGATGTGCTGGGGTCCTCTCCGCCGCCCTACTACCGGAGACCAAAGACCGGCCCCTCCCCCAGACCTTGGAAGAAGCGGAGAACCTCACTAGAAGGCCAAAGGTCTCCAAGGATGAAGGCAGGAGAGGAAGTTTGGAGGTTGATTTGGTCTCCAAGTCCTCATTAAGTGATCCAGCGTCTTCAGTGTTAAAGGCGACAGACGTGGAGACTAATATATAGGAGATATATGGAGACTAATAGGAGACACATGGTAGATAAAATTTCAGTTACCCCAGATGCCGTTTTCTTTAATTTTTTTTTACCCGAGTTAAAGAAAACGAGATGCGGAGGCTAACTTATTTCAAGAGTCATGATATGGTTTTTTTTTCACCTTTAATAATGATAAAGAAAACGGGTCATGGAATAGACGTATTGTAAGACCCGTTTTCTATGGTTTCGAAACATAAAAGAAAACGTATTGGAGGATAGACTCATCTTGTTAGACATGAGGACCCGTTTTCTATGACTCCCAAACACTAAAAAAAATCGTATTGGAGGATAGACTCATCCAGATACTCACAAAATCAATTTCTAAACTTCACAATATGTCACACTAGTACAAGAGTCTCCACCAGACACACAAACACACACATATATAAAACAGAATGAGTAAAATAACCCTTAGTACCCAAGTCAATAAGTGATATAATCCTTAACACACGAATAATATAACAACAAAACAGAATGAGTAATATAACCTTTAGTACCCAAGTCAATAAGTGACATAATCCTTAACACACGAATAATATAACAACAAAAATGCAATAATAAATATAATGTATAATAATAGGCATAAATAAATACATACATACATACATATATACATACATATATAACTCACATGTATGAATTATAGACATGGATCAAGTATATAGGGCATAGTAATATAGAGCATAATACAATATATATATAACTAGAATTAAAAATTATATTAAGTCAAATAAAATAATATGGTTATAGAACATAGTGGTCATATTGATGGGTTTTCTTTTATACTGAAGGAGTTTTATATTGTAAGTTATTGAATAAAATGTATGGTATAATGTTGTGTTTTATTTACTGACAGACAGACAGACAGACACAGACATACACACAGATGGACAGACAGACAGACACACAGACACTCAGACAGACAGACACACAGACACACAGACTTTATTACGCACTCCATGTGTGTGTGTGTGTGTGTGTGTGTGTGTGTGTGTGTGTGTTTTCATATTTATGTGTTTGAAGGCACATTCTATTCGACTCATATTGTATACACTCATGTAAATATACACACACACACACACACACACACACACACACACACACACACACACACCAGCGAAATATTCTCAGTATAAATATATTTCTTGAATATTAAACTTTCTTTTTCATTAAAACTTGACAGCTGTGGCGAGTAAAACAGGTCGCTATTTGTTTGTTTGTTTGGATCTCTGTTTTTGTTTGTTTGTCTGTTTGTTTGGATGTCTGTTTATTTATTTATTTATTTTAAGTTTGTTTAGATGTTTGTTTATTTGTTTTTTATTTGTTTATTGTTTGTTTGGATGTCTGTTTTTGTTTGTTTGTCTGTTTGTTTGGATGTCTGTTTTTATTTGTTTATTGTTTGTTTGGATGTCTGTTTTTGTTTGTTTTTGCTTGTTTGTCTGTTTATATGTTCTTTTAGCTTTGTGTTTGTTTATGTTTGCTCGTTTTTTGTTGCTTGGTTGTTTCAATTTGTAATGTTGTGTGTGTGTGTGTGTGTGTGTGTGTGTGTGTGCATGTTTGTTCTATGTATGTTTGTGTGTTTTAATTTACGTTTGTGTTATATCTATATACCTGTATGAGAGAGAGAGAGAGAGAGAGAGAGAGAGAGAGAGAGAGAGAGAGAGAGAGAGAGAGAGAGAATGAGAGAGAGAATCGTTAGGCTTAGAGACATAGATGGATAAAGAGAGACCCAGAGACAGACAGAGAGATAAAGCAACAAGTGCGAATGAAAGTGATAAAAAAAAATAAAGAGGATAAACCTAATGTGTGTATGTATGTACGTATTCTCCGAGTATAATGTGTACATGAATGTATTCTGGTGAGTCTTATGTGATTATCCAGAGCTATAGTTACATCATTAAACTCTACGGTATTCTCACCCCACGTTTCACTATAGTTACATCATTAAACTCTACGGTATTCTCACCCCACGTTTCACTATAGTTACGTCATTAAACTCTACGGTATTCTCACCCCACGTTTCACTATAGTTACATCATTAAACTCTACGGTATTCTCGCCCCATGTTTCACTATAGTTACATCATTAAACTCTACGGTATTCTCGCCCACGTTTAACTATAGTTACAATATTAAACTCTACGGTATTCCTCGCCCACGTTTAACTATAGTTACACCATTAAACTCTCGGTATTCTCACCCCGTTTTGCTATGAATTGCATCATTAAATTCACGGTATTCTCTCGCCCCACGTTTAACTATAGTTACATCATTAAACTCTACGGTATTCTCGCCCCATGTTTCACTATAGTTACATCATTAAACTCTACGGTATTCTCACCCCACGTTTCACTATAGTTACATCATTAAACTCTACGGTATTCTCGCCCCACGGTTCACTATAGTTACATCATTAAACTCTACGGTATTCTCGCCCCACGTTTCACTATAGTTACATCATTAAACTCTACGGTATTCTCGCCCCACGGTTCACTATAGTTACATCATTAAACTCTACGGTATTCTCACCCCACGTGTCATTATAGTTACATCATTAAACTCTACGGTATTCTCACCCCACGTTTCACTATAGTTACATCATTAAACTCTACGGTATTCTCATACGTTTAACTATAGTTACGTATTAAACTCACGATATTCTCACCCCACGTTTCACTATAGTTACATCATTAAACTCTACGGTATTCTCACCCCACGTTTCACTAGTTTACATCATTAAACTCTACGGTATTCTCTCACCCACGTTTCACTATATAGTTACATCATTAAACTCTGATATTCTCACCCCGTTTCCTATAATTTACATCATTAAACTCTACGGTATTCTCGCCCACGTTTAACTATAGTTGCATCATTAAACTCTACGGTATTCTCGCCCCACGTTTAACTATAGTTACACATCACATTAAACTCTACGGTATTCTCACTTACGTTTCACTATAGTTACATCATTAAACTCACAGTATTCTCACCCCACGTTTTACTATAGTTACATCATTTCATCTCTACGGTATTCTGCGTTTCACTATAGTTACATCATTAAACTCTACGTATTCTCACCCCACGTTTCACTATAGTTACATCATTAAACTCTACGGTATTCTCGCCCCACGGTTCACTATAGTTACATCATTAAACTCTACGGTATTCTCGCCCCACGGTTCACTATAGTTACATCATTAAACTCTACGGTATTCTCGTCCCACGTTTCACTATTAATTACTACGGTGTGCGTTAATTACACCGTGAAAATCCTCTATTTACTGGTGTGTATAGAGATCAAAGTTCGTTATAAAGACGGGATAGACAGATAGACAAACAGACAGACACAGACATACAGACAGACATAAAATATACACCCATATATAGCCAGATCCAATTTTCCCTCACTGACTGACACACACACACACACACACACACACACACACACACACACACACACACATACACACACACACACACACACACACACACACCTTACTAATTCACTTACTTACATGCAGCAGCAACTCTCCTGTGTACATCCTTAGGAGCAGTCTATATTTATTTGTGTGACGTATGTCTGTGTGTGTGTGTGTGTGTGTGCATGTGTGTGTGTGTGTGTCTTTCCCTCCATCTCAAAGTATTCCCTCATCACCCAATTTTTCCTTCCATTAAGCTTATTTCCCTTCACATTGGCACACTCATTTCCCCACACACACACTTTCTTCCCCTATATTTTCCTACTTTTACCCTTAATTTTTCCCCTACTTTATTTCTTACTTCCCCAGGACTTAAATGTTAGTTTTAACACAAGGACGAAGACTTAACCCCTTAAAGACAATAATTTAAGCCTGTGTACTGATAATAGTAGATTAAATAGTCATAATACTACTACTATTACTACTACTACTACTACTACTACTACTACTACTAATAATAATAATAATAATAATAATAATAATAATAATAATAACAATAATAATAATAATAATAATAATAATAATAATAATAATAATAACAATAATAATAATAATAATAATAACAATAATAATAATAATAATAATAATAATAATAATAATAATAATAATAATAATACAATAATAATAATAACAACAACAACCCCCAAGGGCCTCAGGAAGTACTACAGAAGGTGGAGTGTTCCCGAGGTATACGCTGTCTCTTAGCATGGCCACAGGAGGCATTACTACACTTTGTTTAGTCCCCGATCTCACGTCTCCACCAACGCCCTATCGTCTCCATGACCTCGACTACAACACGTGAGGGAATATAACCTTCAGTTCGTGCTTTGATCTCCTCTTCAGAACTACTACTGCTGCTGCTCCTTCTGCGTCTAGCCTTCAGGATAGGTTATTCGCTCCTACTCAATTTCATCTCAGGTAATAAATTCTCATCCAGTTTTCTCTTCCTGGGTTTGGTCCGCCAACATCGTCCATCAAGATCCTAGACCAGATTGTGACATATTTCAGTCGCTGTGTCTATGGTAGGACGGTATTTGGGTATAACGTGCATACAGTCCTTAGCCCAAAGTTTTAAATCTTGGTCCAGAACCCCTAAGTACTCAAACACAAGCGTGATCATAATACCTACTTAATATATCTGAGCCTTCTCGTCTACTGGATGTCTATGGAATAATTCTGGAGCGTATAACGGCAGCCAACTAGTCTTGCCCCATGGGAAAACATAACCGAATTTTTTAGCCAAACCGAAATCGATCAGAGTCATTATAGGACCATTAACCGTAAGTTCAACAACGATATTATTAGCTTTTAGATCATTATGAGCATAACCGGCCTTAATTATACCACTAAAAGTCTCTAACAACTGAACTACGATACTCGCTCCTTCCCTCTGAGATAATTGCTCCTCTATCAACAAGGTGTCTAAGGTCTTCCCGCCATAAACCTAAACAATGGCGGGTTCTGGCAGTAAACAAACACCCACAAGCTCGGCGATCCCCTTTACCTTATGGTCTCTGGCTAACGTAACCATAACCTCTGCTTCGTTGACCACCTCCTCCCACAGCATTGACCACGAGATCCTTTTACGCTTATTCATGATTTTCACACAGAGAGACAAACCACTAGGAACTTAGATCAAATAGCAATTAGCATAGGAACCCCGGCCTAAGTACTTCCCACAGCGACGGGCTTCTTCTACATAATAGGCCGTTAGGTGTTTTATCCCACACTGGTCGAGACGTTAAAGAGCCTCCCTATAGTCCTTAACTATATCTTGCTTGAAAGTCGACTTGTTACTCGATGTCGAAGCTCTAGCTGACATGATTTTAAATACTTCAACAAATAAAACCTATATATATATATAAAATACTATAGCTTAAGTTAGCTTTGGAATCTTAAATAAGGTAAAGCTATATATTGCATAGAAATTTATTGATGTTATATTGAAAATAGGTTGGAACTGGTAGTGGTGAGTGTGTGGTGGTGATTGTGCAGTGGTAGTGTGTGGTGGTGATTGTGTAGTGGCGAGTGTGTGGTGGTGATTGTGTAGTGGTGAGTGTGTAGTAGTGGTTGAGTGTGTGGTGTATGGTAGTGGTGATTGTGTAGTGATGCTTGTGTGTGGTAATGTGTGTGTGGTAATGAGTATGTGGTAGTGGCGATTGTGATAGGGGTGATTGTGTGGTAGTGATAATTGTGGTGTAATAGTAGTAGTAGTAGTAGTAGTAGTAATAGTAGTCACAACGCACCCTATCTATATATATATATATATATATATATATATATAAAACAAAAAGTATGTCTGTCTGTCTGTGTGTCCGCACGAGA